AATAATAATAAAATAGACATAATTTTTGGGATAATATGTCAGCCTCCGGAATTCGATCATGTACAGCGTTAAGCAAAGAGATTGCTCTCGAAGTCGGTGCATTTTGAGCTCGTCGCGTACGGACCCCCTTAAGTTCCGCACAAACTTTTGTTCGTCTGCGTGGCGCCCCTACGTTGTTGCCCAACGCTCCGCTCATATGTCTTTTCGGAACGACCACTTTCATATTTGCAAGAACCACTGGATTGGCGACCTTATTATGGATGATCGCATGGCAATGCAAAGCCAAAGAGATTTTCCGACGCGAGGCGAGACTATCCTGCCCCACCATACCAGATACAAACATAGATGGGTACATAAATGGATAATAACCATACAACCACTTATAAATATACCTGAGAAATTTGCGTTGTATCTTCTCAATCATATAATTGTATTTATGTTCATTCGGGTCCCAAACAATCGCGTTGTATTCCAGTTTGCTTCTGACGTATGCATTATGCAAAATTAAAGGTATTCTAACGTCGCTGAATTGTGAGCTTAATCTCATTACAAATCCCAGAATTTTATTCGCATTTTTGCATATTTCCTCCTTGTGTTTCCGGAAGTCTAGCCGCGAATCTGGTTTAAGCCCTAAGTCCCGAATCTCACTCACAGTTTGTAGAGAATTAGCATTGAGCGTGTATCTAAAGTCAATCAAGTTACTGGATCTGCTGAAAATGATAATACTACACTTTTGCTCATTAAATTGTAGACGGTTTTCAACAGTCCATTTGGCTACTGCATCGATATCGTACTGCAGCAGTTCAGCATCCATATGATTACTGACACCTAAATAAAGCTTTCATATCATGGCCCAATCTCCCTATTCCATCCATAGGAAAGGCCTGTGCCCCAGCAGTGGGGACATTAATAGGATGATGATGATACGTTACAGACTTGTCAAAAATTCTTGCTTGGTCCTCTTGAGGATGTAATGTTACTATTCCTACAAATAGCGAGCGGATACGAAGTGAAACACCGTAGAAGAAATACAATTCGTATACTGATAATAATTAACGAGATATTAACAATAATTGTATTGGAAAAGACGGAAGGACGAGTGACGTGGAGTTGTGTGCGAGGTGATTCGTAGCACACTGCGCTGCCGGCCAAGCGACTGGGAGCAGGTTCCAGACCGGTCCGCGTCTCCCGCATACCGCGCCCCGCGACATACGCGTTCGTGACGTAGCCGCTGTTAGTGATGAGGGCACGACGACGCGTAGTGATGTGCCACACCACCCCCCTGGGAGAATCAAAACCCTGTGGAAAAATAATGAGGGAATTTAACATGTCGCCCCGAACGAGTACTTTTGACAGGTTCGGGCTCAGGGCGATTTGCAGGATTAGTTGGTGGTGCATTCTTCGCTTCCGTCAGAACGAATGCTGGTTTGGTTCTGTCTATTGAAACGGTAACCGGTCCTCTATTCAATTCAACAGTTACTGTTTTCTCTGTCCGTTTCAAAACTTTATGAGGACCACTATATGGAGCTTCCAAGAACCACGTAAAGCATCCTTTCTGAGGAATACGTACTGTGCTGTTGGTAAGTCTTGGTGGACAAAAATGGTTTTCTGACCATTTCGCGATGCTGGCACTGGCTTCAAGCGTGACATGTGAATGCGCAGATTAGACAAAGTCTGATGGCTGAGGTAACTGGGAGTTATTAGAATGGAGGAACTCACCAGGAATCCGAAGAGGCTCACCATATACCATCTCAGCAACAGAGCATTGTATGTCGGACTTCCAAGCAGTACGCACTCCAAGGAGTACTGTAGGCAGCACGTCTGTCCATCGTGTAGTCTCGTGGGCCATTATCGCAGCTTTCAACGTCCGGTGAAAACGCTCCACCATTCCGTTCGCCTCTGGGTGGTAAGCTGTGGAATGACGCAGTCGAATTCCGCAAAGATCTGTCAAGGATTTGAATAAATGCGAATTAAATTGACGTCCTTGGTCAGTTGTCACAGTTTCCGGACACCCAAAGCGTGTTACCCAAGCATCATAGAAAGCTTTAGCTACGGATTCAGCTGTAATATTAACAAGTGGTATGACTTCTGGCCATCTGGTAAACCTATCCACAGCCGTAAGACAGTATCTAAAGTCATTGGACGGTGGGAGTGAACCTATTAAGTCAATGTGTATGTGACTAAATCGGTGGGCAGTTAATGGAAAGTCAGCTGTGGGAGAAGAGGTATGTCTCTGTACCTTAGATCTCTGGCATGATATGCAACTTCTTACCCAAATCACGACAGTCTTTTTTCACAGAAGACCAAACAAATCGGTCGGTGATGAGTTTTGTAGTGGGCTGAACTCCGGGATGGCTCATGTTGTGAGCATTGTCAAAAATAGAACGGCGCAGCTCCTTCGGAATGTATGGACGGGGTTTTGACTGAGAAACGTCACAGTAAAGGGTAATATCCGTACCTGGTACTGGAACTTTCTGAAGTTTCAAGGAAGAAGAATTATTGTCCAATAGCTCACGAATTTCTGAATCGTTATGCTGCTTCTGTGCTATCGTTTCAAAATCAGGAGGGATAGATATAACCTCTACACGAGACAATGCATCAGCAGTTATATTTTCTTTGCCCGAAATGTGCTTAATGTCTGTGGTAAATTGGGAAATAAAATCCAAATAATTGAACTGCCTTGGGGAACATTTCCGATCTTTTTGCAGGAAAGCATAAGTAATAGGCTTGTGGTCTGTAAAAATTGTAAAGTGACGGCCTTCTACTAAATAGCGAAAATGCTTAACGCTCTCATATATTGCAAGCAATTCACGGTCATAAGCACTGTACTGCTGCTGAGCTCTGTTTAATTTTTTTGAAAAGAAAGCTAACGGTTGCCAACTACCTTCTACTAGCTGTTGTACTACCGCGCCTAGTGCTACGTTAGAAGCGTCCGTTACAAGCGCAAGCGGTGCATTATGCAAAGGATGTGCTAAAAGAGCTGACCTGGAGAGACTTGCCTTACACGTCTCAAATGCAGACAGCTGTTCTGGTGTCCAGGTCAACGGTTGAGAACTCTTGTTCTTTCCTCCAGCCAACATATTGTGTAGCGGTGCCTGATCTTCCGCAGCATGAGGAATAAAACGCCTATAAAAATTTAGCATTCCTAAGAAACGCAACAGGCCTCCCACAGTCTTGGGTGGGGGAAATTCCTGGATAGCTGCTACTTTCTCCTCCGTAGGCTTTGTACCCGATGCAGAGATAGAGTAACCAAGAAATGTTACCTTAGTTTGGCCAAAACTGCACTTAGCTTCGTTGACGAGGTTCCCATATTCTTGTAGGCGGCTAAATACCTTCTCCAGGTGTTCCAGGTGCTCGAATTATTTCTGGAAAATAGAATTATATCGTCTAAATACGAAAAGCAACAATCTAGATCTCGAAGAACCTCATCAATAAACCGTTGGAACGTTTGAGCTGCGTTCCTCAAACCAAACGACATAAACGGAAACTCGAACATTCCAAAGGGGGTAGTTATAGCCGTTTTGGGTATGTCGTCCTTGAAAACTGGTATGTGACGATAAGCTTTCACGAGGTCTATTTTTGAAAATATTGTGCAGCCAGCTAACCGATGTGAGTAATCCTGGATGTGAGGTATGGGATACCTATCTGGAATAGTTCTGGCATTGAGAGCTCGGTAATCGCCACATGGTCTCCAGCTGTCTCCTTTCTTGGGTACTAAATGAAGAGCTGAAGCCCAGGGTGAGTCAGAACGTCGAGCTGTACCATCTCGAAGCATCTCCTCAAATTGTTCCTTGGCTATTTTCAAGCGATCTGGCGCCAAACGTCGAGGCCTGCAATAAACTGGGGGTCCAGGCGTAGTGCGAATATAGTGCACCGTATTATGCTTGACTTCGCGAAATACACCTGGTGGCTTTGTCAGCGATGGGAATCTAGCTAATAAAGTGTGGTACTCACTTTTACCCGCGATCGCCTTGATACTATGTTTACTCGTAACAGCCGTTGAGAGGGTAGTTAGACTATCTAATAAACGACCATTCTTACAATCGACCAGCAATCCATAATGAGCGATGAAGTCCGCCCCTATGATAGGCTTGTCCACATCAGCTACTACGAAATTCCACGAAAAGTCGTGGCGAAGTCCCAGGTTAAGACGCATCTTCATCAATCCGTAAGTACGGATGCTGGAACCGTTGGCTGCTGTGAGGCTGTAATCAGTAGGTGTTACATATGCACGTAAAAATCTACGAGGCAAAACACAAAGATCGGAGCCAGTGTCGATTAAATATTGAATTTTGCTTTCTTTGTCAGTAACAAATGGGCGACGGGTAGTTGCATGACAGTCGGCTGTCGCCATTACTGACCGTCTCGCGAGTTTTCCTTATAATTGCAAGGATGGATACATTTACTAGCCTTCTCAGCAAATTTGTAGTGGTACCAACACATACCCGACTTCCTAATCTGACCTGGTCCGGCGCTTCTAGATCTACTCCTTGACCTTGACCTACTAGACCGCCTCCGGAACGACTGACGACCATGCCCTGTATCTATATTCAATTGGGACAACTGGTGGCTTAACTCTGTCTTAATGCGTGACGAAATCATCTCCTCTAACCGTTGAAACATTCCTTCCATACTATTCGATGAAGTACTAGCAACTTGATTGGGGGTAGGAACAACGTCATAAATTTGATCAGCAAGAACGGCAACCTCATCGAGACAAGTAGCTTTTTGTGACGCAATAATAACTTGAATATGCGTTGGAAGGCGACCTGACCACAAGCTGCGTAAAAAATCGTCAGTAACACCATCCCCTGCTAAAGCTCTAAGGTGGCGCAAAAATTGCGACGGCTTGCGATCACCTAACTCCTCATGAGTAAGCAATTGACGCATTCGATGTTCCCGGGAAACCGAAAGACGACTAATAAGTTCCTGTTTTAATTTCTCGTACTTGCCGGTCGACGGTGGGTTTGTAATTATGTCCCGAACCTCCCGTGCGCTACTTGAAAAAATTTCGTACTATCACCTTTTATTCCCGTGCATGCGAACTGAGCTTCAACCTGCGCAAACCAAATTTCGGGATCTTCTGGCCAAAATGCGGGCAAACGTAAAGTTACTCGGTCCACCGCACTAGTATCTTCACCGCTCGCGTCCTTAAATTCTTGCGCGACGTCATCGCTATCGCTACGAGGCGGATTCATTATAACAACGCAGGCAAAATAACACGACGCGCAGAAAAATCAAAAGATTAAAAGCGTATTGAATTGGAGTCACCACTGAGGATGTAATGTTACTATTCCTACAAATAGCGAGCGGATACGAAGTGAAACACCGTAGAAGAAATACAATTCGTATACTGATAATAATTAACGAGATATTAACAATAATTGTATTGGAAAAGACGGAAGGACGAGTGACGTGGAGTTGTGTGCGAGGTGATTCGTAGCACACTGCGCTGCCGGCCAAGCGACTGGGAGCAGGTTCCAGACCGGTCCGCGTCTCCCGCATACCGCGCCCCGCGACATACGCGTTCGTGACGTAGCCGCTGTTAGTGATGAGGGCACGACGACGCGTAGTGATGTGCCACACTCTGTATAACGTGATAGTCTGCCGCCCTGTATAATATAACAGGTTGCAGGTCATGGCCACTACAACTACCAGCTGTTGACAGCCTGCAGCATCCTGAGCCATGGCGTCGCTCTGGACATGTTCGGCTTCAACGTAGTATTAGCGGCCGCGAGCTGTGATTTGGAGCTTGGGATAGTGGAGTCTGGGGCTTTGGCGTCTGCCCCTTTCGCAGGTAATTTCCTATCTTTATCATGCCCCCAATGTGCTATTGATACCAATTTTTGTGATAATTAAAAATGTTTTCCCTATAAGTCGAAAAGGGATGACTGCAGATGCTGTCGGGAGCAACGGGTTAAAGTGCCCTCCGAAGCATGGAGAAACCCGAGTTAATACATGTTTCGTCACCCATTTGATGACTGGCTATTCCTTTAACTTTCACGATCGCATACCGAATGCACTAACCACTTGCGTCTATGCACAGTACCTACCTATCTACATTTCGATCATCAAAATATTTCAGGTGTGATATTCGCGTTTCTTTGGGGGTATTATGCAGACACTCGTGGTAGGAGACGAGCTATCCTGCTGTCCAGCTCGGTCGGATTCATCATGGCTGCACTGAGTAGCTTGGCTCCATGCTGGCAGGCGATGCTTGCTTTGAAGCTTATTGGATGCTCCTTGTAAGTTACATAACTTTCAAAGGAATATAATAAGAATTTTATTCGCTAATGCTAGAAAAGACATGAGACTCCGTATGAATCCTTTGATGACAATAAATCTTTCTGCACTCCTTTTCTATAATCCAAAATTAACTTCTCTGAAGCAAAATCTAACAGTTCTCCATGAGCTCTAATATACGACAAGAAACGATTACTATTTATTGTACAGAATCGTCTGTCTACAATAAGTAAAGAGGCCTTGGCTAGTAAATATATATGAACAATTGATATTTTTTGGGTTTCATCCATTTAAAATAAAGCTGATCGCCCTTTTGAAATAAGCATCATCAAATGTATCAAAATAAATGATGCAAGAATCCCGATTGCTAACTAAAAATAACATTGATTTAATTAAAAATAACCTTTATACCGTCTATGAAGCAACTATAATTAAGCAGAACTTTATATTCTCTTCAATATCTTTTTCCAGCTCAACTGCATCTTTTTCTCTGACCATGACTTACTTGGGCGAGTGCACTGGCCCTAAATTGAGAGATCGCTATATATTTATCATGACATCTGCAAATCTAGCATCTGAAATTGTTGCCTTCGGTAAGTTGGTCGTCAATTTATTTTTACATATTAATCATCGATCAGGAAAAATGACTTTGTTAAGTGTTTCAAGATCTTCGTAACACTTGACATGGAGAATTTTCCTCCCAATAACCGACCCGTTTGGAAAAGTCAGCACCACCACTTTAAACGGCAAAATCAAGAGATCTCAACAGAATAAATTGTATCACATTTAATAATTTTCTGCCTTCTTGCAAATTTCAAACGATTATCCTGGCATAGCAAATTCAGGGTATAGTAACCATTTTACTAACATGTTTTACAGACAATTCATTTGATTTTAAAATTGTCTTATATCGTACACTTTTGAAATATGAAAGATAATCACAAATTGTTTGCTCTTAAAGCGGTTAAATTAAATCGGTTTTTATATAAATCGGAACAATAGCAATATCTGTATATTGATCTTAATTGCAATTCACGTTTCAGGCTTAGCATATTTCCTGCTACAGTTAAACTTCATCGTTCCAATCACTTGGCTCGCCATCACCTATCGTCCGTGGCGATTGTTCACCTTCATCATGGCTTCTCCTCTCGGGATGGGAGCAGTGATGATATACTTCCTCCAAGAAAGCCCTAAATTCTTGGCTGAAAGGTCAAGTTCTAAGGAGACTGTGAAAGTGCTCAAAGTTATCTACGAGATGAACGGTGGCAAAAAGGACGATTATCCAGTTAGTTATTTTTTTTAAACATAAACAAATATTTTAGGAGAAAATTGAGTGGGTTAAACTAGACGCGGCTGCTGTACAGAGTAAATAATTCAACTTACTTTCAGAGGTTAAATCATTCATGAATAAGTATTTACATAATAAATGAGACGTGAAAGGGGTAGAGTTTATTACTCAAAAAACTTCTTTGTTGAACATGATTTTTTATACAAAAAAATGGCTTCATTTATTCCTAGATGAATTCCTGAAAGACTCAAAAGTACGATAAATTTCCCTCCATACTTTTAAAAAGCTTAGAGAGCAAAATGCTATAAAATATTTCATCAGTGTCTATAAATTTATTTTCTAGGTGAAAGATATAAAAATTGACCATTCGGAGAGAAGAAATGAAAGATTCTGGAGTTCACTGATGAAGCAGACGACGCCTTTGTTCAAACCTCCCTTATTGTGGATAACGCTTCAACTGTTCTATCTTATGACCATTGCTATTAGCACGTCAGTTGCCTTAATAAATTTTACCTAACCCCATGTTTTAAAACCTCTATAAAGATTCTGAAACACATAGCTTATTGCCCATATTAAAACATCTAATGTCATTTTTGAAAAAACCATTATAACATCCTTTTGGGTATTATAATGTATTTTTAGGGTTCCGTAGTCCTGACAAGGAACTTTTATAGTTACGTCATGCCTGTCTGTCCGTCCCCGGTTTTGCTTGGAGACTATTAGCACTAGAGAGCTGTAATTTTATGAAGATATGTATGTCAATTATGCCGACAAAATCGTAAAATAAAATTTTCGCAGAGGTTGGTCATTAGATGGGTGACCAAAAATCTTCGACCTCGAGTTCCTACGTGCTTCGGAAGTCATGTTAAGCTGTTGATCCCGGATGCATCTGCAGTCGTTAGCACCCACAAACCCACACTGGGCCCGCGTAGTGGGTCGTGTTCCAATCCCCCTATTCCATCCATAGGGAAGGCCTGTGCCCCAGCAGTGGGGGCATTAATAGGCTGATAATGATGAATATACAGATACGAGCTACAATACTGAGGTGCTAAAATGGTTTTTAGTTAAATTATATATTTTCTGTTTTATGTTGTTGCAATTTTTACTCAAATAGTGTCTATTTATTTTGTGGTTGTTATAAATTTACCACTTTTATTATTCTTCTTTTTAAATTCTTTATTAATTACTTACTCTATATAACCAAAACTAATAATTCATTTGTCAACAGAAATAACGTGTTTATCATGTGGTTTTCTATCTTCGTAAATTTATTTTTTAACTCGTTGACGGTGGACAACGACAACGGATCTTTTTGTGAAAGAATCGTCTCTAATTTGACTGTGCCACAGTCTGATTCGGTAAGTAAGCACACATTGTGCTCTAGTTGTAGGCCGTAAAGTCCCAATTATTTTAAATGCCTCATGGGCAATAAGACAAGCAGAAGAATCAAGAATATATATTCATTGATTGCCTAGATTAAGTCTTATAAGAGTCAATTTTCACACTTCCTAATTGTTTGAAGACATGATGGACTGACAGGATCACTAAGAATTTATTTTTATTAATCACCAATAATATAGTTTTATGAGTGCCAATTTTCACTCAAGATGAGTAAATTATTAGTGAAAAGCACTGCGTTAACAAAAAATTTACATTTTGCTGTCATTTTACAGATAACCTGCTCTGACACCATTTCTTCTAACACTCTATACTCCGGAATGCTTTTGGGCTTGTTTTACACTTTCGTGACTCTGTTGGTGTCCAGAATTGCCTCTTGGAGAAGACTTGTCCTCATTACCTCGTTCACAATAGCAGCAATCAGTGGAATATTAGTAGACTTACTGAAAGAGCCTTGGGCTAATTTAATAGTTTTCGTACTGTTACAAGGTACGCTGCTGGGGATCGGCAGTGTGGCTTCTTACTTCGTGGACTTGTATCCGACCGCTTGCAGGTAAGAATTTTTATATGGGCCAATAGTTTACATTGTCCACCCCCTCTAAATTAAAAAAAAAAAAAAAAAAATCAATATCGTTTATTCAGTCTAGGCTGTTACAAGCACTCGTGAATGTCAAAAAGCTACGCCATCGGTTCGCAAATCTACGGCGGGAGACCTTGTACTGAGAAGAACCGGCAAGAAACTCAGCAAGGGCTGTTTATTTCTCCCTGTATTATATACAGAGTCGTCAATTTGAAAAATGACTTCAATATGAGATAACTCATGAAGTCACTTTCCATTACAGATGTAAATGATAAAAATATTATGGCTATAAAATAATAAATATAAAAAACAGATTTAAAAATAAAAAAAGTTTAGGGATGCCGTGTCCTACTGTTTAGGCATAAAAACAAATGTACCATTAAAGTTAAATACAATGATTAAAAGTACCCAATGTAGCAAGAGCAGACTCATCTCCGCTGGCAGCACCCGTTCACGAGCATGACACATGAACCAGCCATTGCTTCGCTCAACCATTTTTTAGGGAACGTCACCTCACACGATACCGCGCGAAGAGATTTTTAAGAGAGCATGACTACTCATAACCACATATGGATACTAGATAGCAAAATAGGGGAAGAAAAAAAAATTAAGTACCGGCGAACTTCGTACCACCCAAAAGTAATAATTTGCAATAAATTAAAATTGCGACTATAATTTGAGATTTAAACTATCCTATCTCTCAAGTTGGATCGAACTGCACATGGTGTGCGAATTTTATTATAATCGGTTCAGTGGTTTAGGAGTCTATTGAGGACAAACATTGTGACACGAGATTTATATATATTAAGATAAACACAACTGTAGGACACATGCATGTGATTACCTAAACACTAGCTAGTGTCGACTCTGCCACTACTCTCCAAACCCAAAACCAAACCCAACATCAGTGCCCCCCCTTCACTCTGTATAGAGAATGACAAGGATGCACCGCTGCAAAACCAAAGTTCAGGTCTAGAGAACCATGCCAGAATCCACACCACCATTAAATCTTTATCTCAGAAATAATAAATGTTCACCTAAATTTTGATTGCTGTGCCATATAGTATAAATACAATTACAAATAAAATTTAAATAAATAATTAATTATCATTATAATAATAAAGTAGAGAGAGCAGAGCAGACTCATCTCCACTGGCAGCACCCGTTCACGAGCATGACGCATGAACCAGCCATCGTTTCGCTCAACCATATTGTAGGGAACGCAACGACCCGCCTCACATGACACCGCCGAAGAGATTTTTAAGAGAGCATGACTAACAATAACCACTCAAACCAAACTAAAATAGTTACTGAGAATTAAGGTAATTTATCTGTACGACTTCAAGTATTCTTTAATAGTATAATAGCCTTTCTTAAGTAAACAATTTTTAATGTGACATTTGAACTCATTTATGGGTAACTCAAGAATGGCATCAGGAATTTTATTATAAAAATGTATACCTTGACCCATAAAAGATCGGTAAACCTTCTGTAACCTGTAGGGTGGCAATGCAAGCTTATTTCTATTCCTTGTGTTAAAATTATGCACGTTACTGTGTTTGGTATACAAATTGATATTATTTTTAACAAGGAGTATACAATTGTAAATGAATTGAGAAGCAACAGTCAAAATGCCAATTTCTTTAAATTTGTCTCTAAGAGACGTTCGGCTACTCAATTGATAAATAGATCTCACAGCTCTTTTTTGTAGAATGAATATACTTTCAATATCAGCTGCTGTTCCCCAGAGTATAATGCCGTATGATAAGATACTATGAAAGTAACTAAAATATACAGTCCTGGCAGTATCTGTATCAGTAAGTTGTCTTATCTTTCTTATGGCATAAGCTGCTGAACTAAGTTTACCAGCCAAAAGCGTAATGTGATGATTCCATTGCAGTTTTGAGTCTATAGTTATACCCAAGAATGTAGTCGAGTCTACTAAATCTAATTTATTATTATTTAATATAATTCCAATATGTTCAACTTTTACATTAGGTAAAGAAAATTTAATACACTTGGTTTTATTAGCATTTAGCTTTAGATTATTAATATTAAACCATTGCAAAACTTGCGAGAGAGCATTATTAACATCGTCATAGTTGTTCTTGCGCCTGTCAACGTTAAATAATAAAGATGTGTCATCAGCAAATAATACTATCTCACACAAATTTTCTACAAAAAATGGCAAATCATTTATATATACTAGAAACAGAAAGGGACCCAAAATTGAACCCTGGGGAACGCCCATTTTCACATGAGATCCAGATGATCTTACACCATTTACCTCTACAGTTTGAATTCTGGAACTGAGATACGACTGTATTAATTTATATGCAGTACCTTTGACTCCATAATGACCTAATTTCAATAACAGCGTGTGATGATCAACGCAATCAAAAGCTTTGGATAAGTCACAGAACACTCCAAGAACATTCTGCGACCTCTCCCAAGCCTCCAATATACTCCTTACAAGTGCAACACCCGCGTCAGTAGTAGATCTACCTCTGGTAAAACCAAATTGTTTCCTATGCAAAAGTTTATTTAGGTTGAAATGAGGCATTAATTGTTCCAGAATAATTCTCTCAAATATTTTACTTAGAACCGGTAATATTGATATAGGCCTATTCTAGGTTCACTTCTATTTCCTGATTTAAAAAGAGGTATAACTTTACTGTATTTCATCAAATCCGGAAATACGCCTTGATCAATACAGTTATTAAATATATCAACTAGATAAGGGGCAATAACGGGTATTATACTTTTAATAACTTTAGTAGAAATACCCCATAAATCACTTGTATTTTTTTGTTTAAGAGATTTAAAACACTTAATAACATCAATAAAACTAATATGTCTAAACTGAAACACGTTATCACACTTAGGTACATATTTCTCGAGCAATGTCTTGGCAGCCAGCGTTGAAGAGCTCAAATTAGATGTAGCCACCAAAGGAACATTAACGAAATAATCATCAAAAATATTAGCGATATTTTCCTTAGATTTTATTAGAATGTTATTGGACTTAAGTTCAATAATATCGTCACGTGGCCTTTCTTTGCCTGTTTCACGATTTATAACATTCCACGTTGTTTTGATTTTATTATTCGATTTACATATTTTATTTTTAATAAAATTAGATTTGGCTGTTGCACATACCTTTTTGAAGGTTTTAGAATAACATTTAACGTAATCAATAAAACTTTGTGAATGATATAAATGTTATGTTTGATTAAAATTTGTTGAAATCGATGCCTTGGATAGGTTGCAGCGGCTGCCCGCATCATTGGCAATGAGGAGGTAACTAACAAGCTCGAGTCTCTACAATTACGCCGTGATGTGGCATCATTAAGCGCATTCTACCGACTTTACCACGGCGACAGTTCTGAGGAGTTATTCTCCCTTATCCCTCTATCACCTTTTCTTCAGAGGACCACGCGCGCTGGCCTACCTTGCCACCAGCTTACTGTGGCCACTATTCCTACACGAACAAAGAAATTTGGTGACTCATTTCTTTGTCGTACTATTCGTAAGTGGAATTCTTTGCCCGCGCACGTGTTCCCTCCTTCCTACCCTAGCCTTAGCTATCTTCGCGTTTGAACTTTACCACCAGTTAACATCAGGTGGGGTAGAGTCATTTGCCTACCTGGCTATATATATATCTAAAGTAAAGTTGCTTAAAAATGCTTTTGCTTGCTGATGTGGCAGAACGTCAGAGATAATCAACATTGCTCCAATCTCATTAAATTTCTATAGTTCTGACACTTACTGCAGGAACGCAAGAACAGAAAATAGTATTTTTATAGCGGCTTTTCCAAGAAGTAGGTGATATATCTAGCTCTCTGACAGAAGACTATAGTATATACGCAGAATCTTTTGGTGGAATTTAGTAAAATATAATTATGTAATCGCAAGCTACAGTGGTTGCCACAAGATTATGTAATCGCAAGTTACAGTGGTGGCCTACTATAAGGGCACAAGGGCCTATTGTTTTGGTTGTTAGCCACCCTTTTTACATAAAGAATAACTTAGGATTTGAAAGGTGAATGTGCCTTAACATCAGGAATAGTGATTAATTTTCTGTGCCTTGTTTAATTAATATTTTGGACTAATTATTGGTGTAAGTTGTTTTTATAGATTACTAGTGGGTACCCGTCATTTTGTCTGCATGTAAATATTGGTTTCCCATACACACTTCCCTTCCCCTCATTTTCACCCCTTTAAAGCATGATTTCTAGGAAAAAAAAGCTCCTATGTCCTTCTCCGGGTCTCAAACTATCTGTATAAGTATCGATTTTCCTTCAAATCACACACATATAGACACACTTTCGCATTTATAATATTAGTATGGATTTACATTTCAGAGGTTTAGCAATGAGCTTGGCAATGATGACTGCACGACTAGTGGCGCTGGCCGGAGTGAACGCAGTGGGTGCCGTCATAGTAAACCACTGCAGTCTCACCTTCTACGCCTGGACTGTTCTTATAGCTGGTAATCATCTTCATACTCCTATCATCTAATCATCACCATCTATCTACCCTAATGATGTATCCCCATTATGATGCGCGCTGTCATAGTAAACCACTGCTCTCTCACCTTCTACGCTAGGACTGTTCTTATTGCTGGTAATCATCTTTATAGCTCTGACATCATTGCAATCAACCTTTTAATGCCCCTATTATGGTGGGCGTAACATTGTACATTACTGCAGTCTCACCTTCGACGCCTGGACTGTTTTATAGCTGGTAGGAGTAATCATCTTCATCATACTTCTATCATCTAATCGTCACCATCTATCCTAATGATGTCGCCCAATTATGATGGGCGCAGTTATAGAAAACCACTGCACTCTCACCTTCTACGCATGGACTGTTCTCATCGCTGGTAATCATTCTTATTCTTCTGTCATCACCATCAACCTTTTAATGTCCCTATTATGGTAAATGCAGTCATAGTGAACCACTGCAGACTCTCCTTCTACGCCTGGACTGTTCTCATCGCTGGTAATCATTCTTATTCTTCTGTCATCACCATCAACCTTATAATGTCCCTATTATGGTAAATGCAGTCATAGTGAACCACTGCAGACTCTCCTTCTACGCCTGGACTGTTCTCATCGCTGGTAATCATCTTTATACTTCTGTCATCACCATCAATCTAATAATGTCCCCATTATGATGGGCGCTCTCATAGTAAACCACTGCACTCTCACCTTCTGCGTCTGGACTGTTCTCATCGCCAGTAATCATCTTCATACTTCTGTCATTACAATCAACCTTTTAATGTCCCTATTATGGTGGGCGTAACATTGTACATTACTGCACTCTCACCTTCTGCGCTTGGACTGTTCTCATCGCCAGGAATCATCTTCATACTTCTGTCATCATTATCATCAACCTTTTGATGCCCCTATTATGGTAGATGCAGTCATAGTGAACCACTGCAGACTCTCCTTCTACGCCTGGACTGTTCTCATTGCTGGTAATCATTCTTATTCTTCTGTCATCACCATCAACCTTATAATGTCCCTATTATGGTAAATGCAGTCACAGTGAACCACTGCAGACTCTCCTTCTACGCCTGGACTGTTCTCATCGCTGGTAATCATCTTTATACTTCTGTCATCACCATCAATCTAATAATGTCCCCATTATGATGGGCGCTCTCATAGTAAACCACTGCACTCTCACCTTCTGCGTCTGGACTGTTCTCATCGCCAGTAATCATCTTCATACTTCTGTCATCATTATCATCAACCTTTTGATGACCCTATTATGGTAGATGCAGTCATAGTGAACCACTGCAGACGCCAGGACGCCAGGACTGTTCTCAGTGCTGGTCTTTTATGCTTCTGTCATCATTATCATCAGCCCCCAAGTCAAACGTGCGTAAAGAAGTTTCACCTCGAAAAGTAGTAATGTTTCAATGTTGTCTTCAATTAGTAGGATATTACTTCCCCAGATGGTCGCTACGATTCAAGAGAGAAAATAGCGAGTGTTCATCTATACCCTGGCTACTATTTATTAATGGCATAAGGAAAACGGGTTATCATAGCGGTCATCAGCACCAGCCTATAAATGCCCCACTGCTGGGGCACAGGCCTTCCTTATGAATGGAACAGGGAGATTGGACCATGACCAACCACGCGGGCCCAGTGTGGATTGGTGGGTGCTAACGACTGCAGATGCAGTCGGGACCAACGGCTTAACGTGCCTTCCGAAGCACGGAGGAGCTATTAAATTTTTGGTCACCCATCCAATGACCGACCACTGTGAAAGTTGCTTTACTTATACGGTTGCAGCCGAACGCGCTAACCACATGCGCCATCGAGTTCCCATAATAGCGGGCTTAGTGTTTATTGACGGGTGTTAACGATTGCAGATGCAATTGGGACCAAAGGCTTCATGTGCCTTTTAGACCATGGGGGAGCTGGAACTGATAATTATGGTAACCAACCGACCAAAGTTGGATAAAAACAGTCTTTAAAAAAAAACATTATTACTTTATTAATATTTTTGTTTCCAGGCGGAGTTATTGTAGTCTTCTTTCTACCAGCACACAAAGTGACCAAAAAGTGACACACCAAAACATACCAAACCAGTCACATACCAAATAACATTTTTTTTAAATAAGAGACTAATTTTTCTTGCTCGATGTGAAAAAAAAAATTGCTTCGTTTTGATAAAGATTTAATAAAGAAATATTATTTTATTAAGTATTTCTTTTGATGCCTTATCGACCATGTTTATCTTCTGGCGCATGATCTTTTTGGGATATGAACTGATCACTTGAAAACGGTTCTGGCTTGAATTTTTTTATATAAAAAGCATGACAAAAAGTCTGATGGTGAGAGAACAATATATCGTATAGAAGTTTACAATTAGAGAAACAACACCATAGAAAAAAGTAAGTAAGTAGTAAGTTAAGTATTTTTTGACAACCTCCGTGGCTGAGTGGTTTGTATGCTGGGTTTCATGGTGTCGCCTACTCGAGAGGCGGATGTTTGTGTGATTTATAAATACGAACATTTAAACTCCAGTCATGGACCCAAAAACCTTCAAAAAAGAGCGTACTCCTTCCTTAAAGGCCGGCATCGCATTTGTGATACTCCTGGTGTTGCAAGTGTCCATGGGCGACGGTGATCACTTAACACCAGGGGAGCCGTCTGCTCGTATGCTCCCTATAACATAAAAAAAGTCATGGATGTATGTGAAATATAATAAGTATATTATGTAGAGTATATGTATTCTATCCATTACCCTAGTATCCCATCTTCTTCTTCTTGTTGCTACGGGCGTTTCCGCAACTCGACGTCCTTATGGCGCCTGTTTTGCGTGAGGAGGGTGTATGGCCGAAATCACTCCAGCCAGCCCAGCTCCGCCAGGAAGGCCCCCAGGGCCTTCACGTTGGTGACTGCCTCTTGAAGGTTTCCCGGTGAGCCGAGGTATTTCGCCCGGTATTCGGCCACTCCGTTGCATTCCAGCAGAACGTGAGTAGCTGTTTCTTCTGCCTCCATGCATCCTCTGCATAGGGGGCTGTCTGTGACACCTATGTTGAAAAGATGTCTGTTAAAATGTGCATGTCCAGTAATAGTACCTGTTACCATGCGCAATGTAGGTTTGCTTAGCTGTAGGAGAGTTTTGGAGAAGGCAGCGTTCACCCGTGGCAAAGCGAGCTTGGTCTGCCTGCACGTCTCCAGTTCGAGCCAGTGTTGCTGGTGTAGTGCGGCAGTGTGCTCGCGAATTTTATTGACGAGACAGCTTACCGGTATCGGGACGATTGGTTCGGGGCCTGTTGGGGTCGTATCGGATCCCTTCCGGGCCAGCTCATCCGCAGCGTCATTTCCGCGTGATCCACTGTGTCCCTTGATCCATTGGATAGTAATAGAGTTGCTCGTCCCTACCGTGTTTAAGGTTTGGTGGCATTCTTGTAGTAAGCTCGATCTGACTAAACAGGCATCTAGAGCTTGTAGGACTGATTTGCAGTCAGACAGTATTCGTATTTCCTGTCCTGTTACCTTCATTGAGAGGATCGCTCTTGCCGCCAGTGTGATGCCCATACACTCAGCTTGGAAAACTGTGTTGCACGGGTATCCCATAACACAAGCCTTACAGTGCTTACTTTGGGGCTAGGCTAATTGGTGTGAGTGTTGGAAATATTTATTTATATTTTGTTTATTTTTCACATCATCAGCCTGTTTTCGGTCGCTCTGAGCATGGTTAAGTTTTAAGGAATATAATACTTCGTTGTACAGATTATATAAGTTTCGTAAAAAAGAAAATATATCATACCCACTCATTTTTAATAATGTAGATAACGGTTTTATTTAATAACACATGTTTTTATCTCTTATCCTATTATAAAATGTAAGATGATAATTTAGATTTTATCTTTAAAAAAGTCTACAGACAGTACATACTATTACAGACTGAAAAATAGCAAATTGTCTGAAATTATTCGTAAAATTACGAAATTTGTTTAGGAGTTCACAAAAATATATTTTTGTACAATCAGTCAGATTGCTCACTCTTTTTGGTGGAATAGGATGGATGTGGGCACTTTTCCTCGAAGCTGAAACGGAGTTATTTTCTTGTGAAAGGCGACACAAGCGCGTAAGGACGGGGTTAGCTAAAATCTCTTTCCTCCCTTTAAGAGATGTGTGAAGAAGCATTTTTGCAGGCCGGCAAGGTGAGGATGGTTGGTGTGGCAGTTTATAACTGCTGTACCAGCTATCTTAGCGTTTCAACTTTATCACCACTTAACATCAGGTGGGGTAGAGTCATTTGCCTACCTGGCTAAATAAAAAGGTGAAAAAGGGCGCATATCTTGAGTACCACTGCAAGGATGCCGTCATGTATACTAAGTATTATAAGTAAATCTTAGACAGGCTAACAAGATTACAACCACCCAAAATCGACACAATATAATAGAAAAGTGCGAAGTCATTTGAATCACTTCTCGGATAAGACATCGCCTACAAGTAAGCACTAAACAAATATAGCGATTTTATCAACATCACAAAGTACTTAGGTATTTTATAAGAATTTAGTATTACATTATATTAAATAAAACTAGTTTTTACGGGTTAATGCACGAAACTTTATTTATTTATTGACGTTTCGCAGCATTTTCAGGTCTGCATCGTCAGAAATTCATGCATTGCATTGCATGCATGCATGCTAACCCGTAAAAACTAGTTTTATTTAATGAGTGATGAGCGTGAAAACCTAAGAAACAAATTACATTATATTATTTAAAGATATTATGTATATTTCACAAAATAAATTGTTTTAATATAATCATATTAAGGAGCTCGATTCCGCGGGTCGTGAGCGCGTTCGGCCACGATCGTTGAAGTTAAGCTACTCTCGCTGGGGTTCGTCATTTAATGGGTGACCAAAAAGCTTCTATCTCTAGTTCCTCCGTGCTTCGGAAGGCACGTTAAGCCGTTGGTCCCGGCTGCATCTGCAGTCGTTAGCACCCGCCAATCCGCATTGGGCTCTCCCTATTCCATGCATAGGAAAGGCCTGTGCCCCCGCAGTGGGGACATTAATAGGCTGACGATGATGATAATTATATTGTTAGGAAATAACGTGAGTGCTTGGATTGAAAGAGATACAGATGGAATGCTGCTGATTTTCCCATTTAGATATTGGTAGAAAAAACACAAACATTTGCCGCGCCGAGGTTCGAACCCACGACTACACCTGAACAACCGGTATGCATAGCGCTCCGCGGTGGTCATCCATACGTAAATAGTATTTCTATTTAGCACCTGAGCACCTGTTGGGGCCGTAAGCCTCAAGCCAATACGCTTTATAAGCAACACTAATTGATCTAGTTAATTATAGACACCTAAGCATTAATTATAGTATACAGGGTGTCCCGCGGCTACCTCACATATCAATATGAAATATTGAAGATAGGATATTTTACCGAAAGAAAACATAATTTTATTTTTAATAATAACTAGAACTGCATTCACAGATTTTTTTAAAAACTCGTGAAATTTCGAAAAACAAACGACATATTTTATGATAACCATCGAAAGGGTTAATCATAAGGATTATTTTTTTCTAAATGACATAGCATTTTAAATGAAAGAAATGTCATTAAATTTAACATTTTATTTAACACAAACTATAACTAATATAAAAACGAAATGGTACAACAAAAAAATAATTTAATTTATCAAATGTTCAAAATGTCTGGACCAAATACGATTATTACGCCGTTTGTATTTATTAGATGATCAGCGAGATCCCCAGATCCAGATCTAACCCCACTGGACTTTTTTGTGGGGTTATGTAAAAGATGTAGTATACAAAAACCGGTACGACAGTGTGCAGGAGTTACAAAATGAACTCACACGTATATTACAAACATTCATCCCGCAAAGATAATGAAATTGACAGCAGAGAAATTATTTAAAGAGTGCGAATTTGCATAAAACAAAATGTATCACATTTTGAACATTTGATAAATTAAATTATTATTTTTTTATTGCACCGTTTCGTTTTTATATTAGTTTGTGTTAAGTAATTTCACATACAATGTTAAATTTATAGACTTTTCTTTCATTTCAAAATGCTATGTTATTTAGCAAAAAATCATCGATGGTTATCAAAAAATATGTCTGTTTTTATTTCAAATATTAAATATTGAAGATAGGATATTTTACTGAAAGAAGACATCATTTTATTTTTAATAATAACTAGAACTGCTTTTACAGTTTTTTTTAAATTGCCTTCTACAACTGTGAAACAAACTCGTGAAATTAAAAAAAACGACATATTTTTTAAATCTAAAGAAAAGTTTTACTAGAAAAAAAATCCACGCGGACCAGGCAGCGGGCGGGTCAGTGCATTCGCCCGGATTGCGAAGGGTGCGGGTTCGAGTCCCGCCCGCTCCTGATCCGCGTGGATTTTTTTTTCTAGAAAAACTTTTCTTTAGATTTAAAAAATATGTCGTATTTTTTTAATTTCACGAGTTTGTTTCACAGTTGTAGCAGGCAATTAAAAAAAAAATGCGAATGCAGTTCTAGTCATTATTAAAAATAAAATGATGTCTTCTTTCAGTAAAATATCCTATCTTCAATATTTAATATACTTTCCCTCCGTGTGAGGTAGCCGTGGGACGCCCTGTATACCCATGTTTAAATTAGTTAAGATTGAATGCATTGTAGTAGTGTAAGGCTCGTCAATTGCAGAAATAAATATATTTTTTTAGTTAAATCTCGTTCTTATTATTTAATTCACACGTCTTCTTAGTACTGTTCTGAAAATATAATTACGTACAATATTTACATACGAAAGATTTCTTCCGTATTTTATATTCGTACGATATTTACTCGGATCTCGTATCAGCTGTGATAACACGTAAGATTGTATAATTAAATATAGTTGTGAAATATTTATGTAATAGCAGGTTCGTTTACATCATCATCATCATCATCAGCCTGTTAATGTCCCCACTGCTGGGGCACAAGCTTTCCCTACAGATGGAATAGGGAGATTGGGCCTTGACCCACCACGCGGGCCCAGTGCGGATTGGTGGGTGCTAACGACTGCAGATGCAGCCGGGACCAACGGCATAACGTGCCTTCCGAAGCACGGAGGAGTTCGAGATAGTAAATTTTTGGTCACCCATCCAAAGACCGACCACTGCGAAAGTTGCTTAAATTCAACGATCGCATCCGAACGCGCTAACCACTTGCGCCATCGAGCTCCTCGGTTTCGGTTCGTTTACGTTTTTTGCAAATCACATTTACCTTTAATTAACATAACTTTGTACTTTTTTTTATTCTTCTATTCGGTATTTATCCTCTGTTAAGCCGTTTATGAATAGCAACTCGTGGAGGGTAGGGGTAGCTACAAGTATTCATTTATATGGCGTTCCAAGTAACGGGCCGATTAAGTGTACCATGGAAAGCGCTTTCCGTACGCAGCTTTAGGGTCCATTCATATTGTATTTAGGGCGGTTTCAGACAAGTGTTTTTATACGCGCGTAAAAGTACTCGTATTTGGAAGCGCGTATAGGAGTAAATTTTGCCACACGCAACTCTTACGACCGTTGACGCGTTTTTAAGCTCGTATATCGCGAGTCGCGAGAGACAGTAATACCGGTTCGAGCGAATACGCTGAAATATGCCCGTGTATGCGAGTCCGGTTTTTTGAAGCGTATGAAAGAAAGAAAGAAGAAAGAAAAATCATTTATTGGCCTTGAACACAAGTACCGAGCAAACGAGCGAGACAGTGCTCTCGGCCGAGTACTCGGTACGTACAAACATAGCGCCGAGTGCTGGGCAGAGCGCTCTCACATTAGTTTTTAACTTCCATCACTGCCTCGGCTGAGAAACATTTTACTGTCTCGCCCGTTTATTCGGTACGTGTGATCAAGGCATTAGATTTTTTTTTCGGAGTCCCAAGATTAGGTTTAGGAATCCAGTTTGGGAACCACTGTACTAGGGCATAGTGCACCAGATGACGGGTGCACTCAGACGCACTCATATTATTATATCGGATTGAGACAGAGCGTCAGAAGGCCTCCCAGGATCGGGAAATGGAACTTGAAATTCAAATACAGAAAGATGCATTTGCGGCATGAGCAAATAATATAAAGTAAGTTAGTGTGTGCCATACGTTTTAAACGACGTTATCAGGAACTGATAAATTCGGGACTGAATCTGTAGTTATTAGCTCCATGTTGACACTACACATCAATTAAATTTGATAACGCACCGTGTTTTATTTAAGCGTTTACAACATGCTAGCGGGTACAGTTTACGCGAAATGGTAGTTAACACCAAATTGAATATCAAAAAATAACAGATTAGTTTACTTTTAGAAGAAGTGTTACTAAGCTGAGACTTAATCTAAAAAAATAAAAATGTGTATTTATAAATTTGATTGTCAACTTGATAAGTTGATACTCTGAAATAATTTATTATATGTACCTAGTTTATAATAAAAATAAGTGTGTTTTTGTTAAAATGTCGAAGCTTAAAACAGTGTCGTATGAGGAAGCCCTCACCTTAACAGGTATGAACTTTTCAGTTTTCGTAAAACATAGATATACCTACTTACATTATTTTATAGCTATAAAACGTTTTTGTAGGTTAAAAAAAAATTTTAGCTCTTCAAAATACGTTGAAAGGTGTAATTCCCATATTTCGAAATTGCTCCATATAGACTGAACAGCAAATAAATTGGGTTACTTGTTACTCGGAACTCTGATTTTGATTATCTCAAAAAGTATTATAAGAATTACAACTACTTATACATAGTTATACCTATATTATGTGCGTTTCATGATTATTAAAATTATCAGAAATTTATTGTGATTTTTTTTTTCAGTTTTTATTTAGAGTTTTCTAAAGTATAGTCGTTTTCAATGAGGGCTACCGTTTTCTGTCTCACCAGATGGCGCCACTGTTGAGTGAGGTCCTAAATTGTAACTTTTAAAGTTTATTAATACGCACATGAAATCAAAGGTTACATTTAGATCGTATTTTAACACAAAAGAACCATATCCTAAACATAATAGGCCATGCCACAGTGACGCCCAGTTCCGTTTTATTCGGAAAAAATGGGAACATAATCATTTTTCTAAGCTCAAATTTTTAATAACTGACATTCATTGCCACATAACTCATATTTGCCATAATTAAGCCGAATTGTTACCAATTATTCACAACATTATTTTAATAAGAAATAAACCCGCGTAGTCAACCAACAAGCAATAACATTTGACATTTCGGAGACCTCACGCTACACTAGCGCCTCTAGCGGCGGATTCATACGCGATAGCCCTCATTGTGTTACTCGGTAGTAAAAAAAACGTGCTATAGTTTGACGCGTCACTATCGAGCCCAAGTTATATTGATTTAAAACCGGCCAAGTGCGTGTCGTGCCACGCGCAGTGTAGGGATCCGTAGTTGCCTGTAGTTACCACAATATATTTGAGCAGGAGTCTTTACTTTCTATATCGGAAATTAGTAAAACTAATTAATATCATTCAATGTATCTCAACTAAAATACCTAAATTAAAGTCAAACTGCGTTTTAAACTTAAAATCAATTCGATATATTTTTTTCTAAATACGAATGATTACCGCCGATTTTTTTTGTTTCCTCCCAGGCGGGGGAGTGAGTGTGAAACAGCCAGCTGCAAGCCGGCTGTAGGGTATCCATGAGAGATTATGTCATACACAGTTATGTCAGACTCTTACTGACTAAAAGCTTCATCTGAAGAGATCATTTCCTGAGAAGGGGATGATGTGGTACAACCACCGATCTTTTTAGTGCTTATATACTTTTTATAAAAACGTAGCGTTAGTGCGATTCAGAAGCCGTTGTACTCGCGGTAGCGTTGTGGAACTTATGATATTTCATTGAGATTTTTAAATAGTTTTATTTTAGATTTTCACGCTACAAAAACTTCATCTATGTCACTATTAATGTTCTCTTCTAAGGAATTTTCAATAAATAAGAAATTTTCTTTGATAAATGTTGAACGACTATTAATGTTTAATTAATTCTTAAACTAAGAAGTTGTCTTAGCCGTTAAAGTTTTCCTTAAAAATTCATGAAAAGCACTATTATAATGAATTTTTCCAGGTTCTTCAAGCCAATAATAGTTTAGCTTTTAGAGGAGGAGACACCCTACTCGAACATAAATTGGTACTTTAAAGTTCAAACGGACGGACAAATGGTCTGGGAAACCCCTTCGTAATTTTAAAAGACCTTTTAAACGATATCCCACTCGATTGGGTAGATGATGAAAAAAAAACATCCCCAGGTTATATGAGTTACGCGAAAACAAATATTTTTTAAAATTTAATCTACCATTTTGTCGGCGTGATCGATATACGCATCTCCACAAAATTACAGCTCTCTAGTGCTAATAGTCTCCAAGCGAAACCGGGGAAGGACAGACGGACATGACGAAACTATAAGGGTTCCTTGTCAGGACTACGGAACCCTAATAAAAAAGGAACATACAAACATATCGCGCGTCACATACAATAGGGTATTAAGTCGGCAAACCCATTTATTTTTTTATTTATTTGCGTTTCAAAAACTACAATTCTTTCTCTCTAATCTGGTAAGATATTTGTATTTTAATTCGAAATAGTTTTTGAATTATAGCAACACATGACGTCAATTTCTAGGCAAAAATGATTGTGAGTATTGTCAACAGTATTAAGTTAATACCATATTGCCCGTTCGGATTAATACAAGTTTGAAGTTTTATTTAAAATAATGCCCTCTGGCCTGTTAAATTTTATCTAATATATTATTTTCAGCGAAATTATTTTAAAATGATACTGATACTGATGATGATTTTAATTTTAACATGAGCCATTTGAACTGCTTATAGGGTATTCTCTTCACCCAGTCACATAAAAGTACTTTTAGAATAAAAACTTCTATTGATACACTAACTAAAACATACTCAACACTAAGAAGGATAATGTACGTTTAAATCAAGGTATCATTTTAAACATTTGAACAAGTAGTTCCGCTTCTATGATTTTTTTGCAGTCGTGTGCAGTCGGGTAAAAATAACAGATGCGTCTGTACAGGGTTCGGAAAGTTCAACTTGTTGACTTTCCTGCTGGCCAGCAGTATAGTGATGAGCATGGCCTTCGAGATGCTGTCCGTAGCATACCTGGTGCCTGCCAGTGCTTGCGAGCTGCTCACCACTAGCACGGACCAGGGCCTGATGGCTGCAGTACCACTTATAGGTGAGCTAAGGCGATTTTAATAGGGATGATGACAAATTTTTTTTTCTTCGTTTATCAGGTAGATTATCAAAAAGTATTGGACACGTATTTTTTCTTTTTTCACATAATATAAATATTACAGAGATATATTGATTTGAAAAGTCGCATGACGTAACATTTGAGTACACTTATAAGTGAAAATTCACTCAAAAGTGACGTCACGAGCCCCTACTCCCAAACTTTGGCACGCTATAACTCATTTTTTGGTCGATTGCCCAAAGGAAAAATACGTGTCCATTATTTTTTGATCATCTAACTGACGGACTAAATAGAATTTCGTTTACTGTACGCCGTCATCACCCCTATTGTTTTATATCAGACCAAACAAGTTACTCCATCAAACCTGATGGTCCCTGGTGCTAGCTCACGTCTGCGAGCTCACACCAGCAGCATGCAGCAGGGGCTGATGGTTGCTGTACCAATAAAAGGTCAGATAAGGGGATCTTAGATGTTATATCTACACCCATGCTTTTAAACCTCTATAAAATATTCTGAAAAAGTTAGCTTATTGCTGACATTGAAACGTCCAACTGGATGTTTAATGTTTTACTAAATCTATATATATAGAACTCAAAGGAAAGAAAATGTTATGACGTAGGTATTCGCTAAGAAAGGATTTTGATCAATTCTGCCCCCAAGGGGATAGAATAGGGAATGAAAGTTTGTACGAAATTATCTTTGTCAATTTTAAACCGATCGGGCTGAGACTTTGCATGCAGGTATAAGAAGAATCATAGATGAAGGTCATTGTGTATTATACAAGCCTGAGAACAAAAACTGTTGTCTACACTTCAGCTATACACCGAAGCGAAGCGAGGGCGGGCCGCTAGTTTCATAATAATACTTCTACGCTTTTTCGATCCCTTCCGCGCAGAGAGTTTATAGCCCACGATGCTAAATAGGGATTTACTTGAGCGTCTTTGGGACCTATTGGATTGTGAAGGTTGTTTATTTATATACTCCGTATACACAAAAAATAATACTGGAGCAACTTAATTAAAGATAACATACCTTGTACACAAGGGCACAACTTATTTCAATCTGAAATTTCTTTCAGTAGGCCCGTAATAGGAAACAATATAGGTAAAGGTAGTCAGCGTGTACACCTGAATATAAATACATGTTAATACCAATAAATATGGGGTTTACATATATAGGTTTATATATACTTACTTACTTACTGCTGTGGCGCAACGATCCGAAGTGGATCTTGGCCTCCGACACAAGATGACGCCATGCTCTGCGATCCCGGGCTAGGTCTCGCCAGCCGTCGGCACCCAAAGACTGCAAGTCCCTCTGCACCTCGTCGCTCCAGCGGTATCTGTGACGTCCAACGAGGTTTATATGTACAAGTACTTAAATAATGAATAAATGCATACACATACGATATGAAATTGATGACAATAGATAAATAAATACATACATACGATGAGAAGAGAAACAATGAAAAGAACAAGGGCAAGAAGATAAATAGGTTAGATGCTAAAAAGAAAAAAAGTTTATGTAATGTATACCTTTTCACTAGTGGGGGGAGCGTGTACAGGTTTTAAAAATGTAAAAAAAAATAGTCACAGACTTACTCGAGCGCGTCAGATATTAATAGTGGAATTGCCCCACGTGTTTCTGATAAGAAGTTAAGTATGAATCTGCCGGTTTGCATGGTGGGGATGGCCTTATAAAGTGGTAGAAAATAGGAATAAAAAAAAATAGTCAGCCGTTGATAAGGGATGTTACGTGATAAACCTACATTCATGTTTTAATACATTCATTATATATTATATAGTACAGCCAATCTGTCGAAAAAAATATCGTTTGAGTGAAAAAAAAACCTAAAGGGTAAGTCTTGTTTTTTCTGTTGCCAAATGACGTCAGTAAGCCACCTTGGCGATGGGCATGTTCAACTCGTAGGCGTTTTTTGAAAAACTCAAAAAAACCGTCAATATTTTTTTGAAACGCATTTTTCTTGTTTTGTATGCATTTTAGAAACTTTTTTGTTGACCATAATTGTAGAGGACGTTGAGTGCTACAATTTATGTCATTGTTGCAATCTCGTACAACAAAAAATGCGCATTGTAGGTGGCGCTAAAGTCTCAAAAAAGTGTTTTTTCACTTTTTCACCCTGAAAATATCATTTTAATGGAAAACTTTAAATGGCAAAGTTGTTTCGTACATAATTACCAACAACTTTTGTATAAACAATTTTTTTGTGTTACTTACCGTTTTCAAGTTATAAATTGCGCAGGTATGAAAAATCCAATAGAGCGGTTTTGGGCAGTTCACGTACACATTTGCAGTGCACATTTCAATGTACGTTTTACTATTTTTTATTTTTTTTTTCATGATTGATAAACAAAAAAAAAATAGTTTTATTTTTATTTTTTTTCATGATTGAAAAAAAAAATAGTAAAAACGTACATTGAAATGTGTACTTGAACTGCCCAAAACCGCTCTATTGGATTTTTCATACCTGCGCAAATTATAACTTGAAAACGGTAAGTAATACAAAAAAATTGTTTATACAAAAGTTGTTGGTAATTATGTACGAAACAACTTTGCCATTTAAAGTTTTCCATTAAAATGATATTTTCAGGGTGAAAAAGTGAAAAAACACTTTTTTGAGACTTTAGCGCCACCTACAATGCGCATTTTTTGTTGTACGAGATTGCAACAATGACATAAATTGTAGCACTCAACGCCCTCTACAATTATGGTCAACAAAAAAGTTTCTAAAATGCATACAAAACAAGAAAAATGCGTTTCAAAAAGGTTTTGACGGTTTTTTTGAGTTTTTCAAAAAACGCCTACGAGTTGAACATGCCCATCGCCAAGGTGGCTTACTGACATCATTTGGCAACAGAAAAAACAAGACTTACCCTTTAGGTTTTTTTTTTCACCACTCAACCTACAGATTGGCTGTACTAATATATGCTAGTCTGCAGACCCGTCTTTCCCAGTCGGCACTTTGGGCAAGTGCCCAGGGCCCCGCGATCGATAGGGGGGGCCCTCAGATCAAATACAAGGTCCCTAGTTCCTGTTAAATCACCAAAATATCAATCCATTATCCTAATATGCCCAGGGCCTCCAATAGGTCAAAGACGGCACTGCTAGTCTGTCATACTTTTCACCTGATTGCTCCTGAATGAGAGTTATGTTCTTCGAGTGTGTTTGTTCGAGTATGTATGTGTATCAGTGTGTGTATATTTTTTGTGATGCTCTGCACCCCTACGGCGCTTGCTTCAACGATTTTGACGTATCGATAACCAGTGGTAAATAATTTATTATGAAAAAACCTTTTCTATATTTATTAACATTTTTACAGGAATAATACTGACGTCCTACTTCTGGGGTTACATGGGGGACACGCGAGGGAGGAAGAAGGTGCTGTGCATCTGCATGACGACCAGTTCCATCGCCAGCATCCTGGCTGCCTTCTCTCCGGACTGGATCACTTTCAGCGTGTTGAAGTTTATATCTTCAGGCTCGTAAGTTCATCTATATCATTTATTTCATATTTAGGTAGGTAAGGGAAGACAGACAGACCCGTTTTTCCCCAGTGGGCACTTTTGGCAAGTACCCAGAGCCGCGCGATCGATCGGGGGGCCTCCTCAGATCAAATACAAAGTCCCTTGTTCCTGTTAAATCACCAAACGGAAGTCATAGGGGCCCCACTGTCCTAATATGCCCAGGGCCTCCAATAGGTCAAAGGTAAAACTAGAGTAACTGCCTCTAGAGTAGGTAAAACTGGTAAGGTAGCCAGGGATTTACAGTGTGCCTGGTGTCTGTTCATAACTGGACTTCACTTACATAACACTATAGCAATAGTGTAGTATATATAAAAAAAAAAACATACTTGTATCAAAAAAGAGTATTCATAATAATTTAATTTGGTTATAATTAACATTAGTAATATTAAAAAATGCATTTAAATATAATTATATTATCTTTTATATCATATTGTCATCTCAATAACAAATTTCCATTAACACCAACCTTTAAAATAAAGATCTTTCTATTGGACAGTGAAACAAATCAATTCTTACGGTAACTAGATTCAAAGTGTGCAACGTACAGATCGGGGCACGTAACTCTAGCGCTGAACAAAACGCTGGGGGGATAGCTGCGTATGGGTACGACTGGAGAGCCAATCGGCGCAGGGCGCGACCACCCGCGTACCTTGTTTCCCCCTAACACATCTTCATTTTTACTTCTCCGCAATAACGGTCAGCGCTAGAGTTTCGTTTTGCGACTTTTAAGCGTAAAACAAGAAAACGCCGCGCCACGTCCCGTCCGGCACATTCAGCGTTATCATATCCAATATTTCTGGATTTGAAATGCTGCCCCGAAATACTCTCATCATATAACATGCGATAGCTAAATCCATTCTTGTTTGTAGTTTTTTGTATCCAACCATGCCTAATATGAACAAGCTTGGATACATCGATGGATAGAACGGATAAGCACCATGTAATCGTAAATACAGATATATGTGAATTTATTTTGAATCCGTTCTAAAATTAAACTGTTCTTAGGTTGGTGCGGAGCCCACACGACGGCGATTTTTTTCTTTCTAAATGGCTTCGCACGGCTTGTTTATTTAGTCAATGTCAAGTGTTAAAAAATTAACAAATTCTATAGCACTCGTGGTCAAAGTAATAAATCGAGTCAAAGTAAGTGGCAGTCAAGTCAATCTCCCTTTCCCTATGTTTCAGTAAATGTGTGGGGATTTACTGGAACCTCCCCGTGGACCTCTTGAGGGAACGTCGAAAGACACTTTCCGCTATTTTGTTTCACTTGCCAGCACTTGTGCATGATCCCGAACACTCAGTGGTTAATAATGCACCATTATTATACACTAACATCCGCCATAAAATAATTTTTAACAAGAAAAACAAAACTGCTAAAGTGACACTTCCCGATCCCGGCAAAAAGTCCACGACGGCGTTAAACTCGAGTTTTCTTATAACTTTTTTTTTATTTCTTCCAGAGTTTCAGGAGCTCTGGCGTTAGCGCTGACGCTACTGAGCGAATGCACGCCGGCAGCTAAACGGTCAATCCTGATTATGCTTACTTCTTCTTTCTTCCTCGGCTCCACTGGTATCATGGCCAGTAAGTATATTTAGTATGATACCAGCGGCCTTTCGCGACTTCGTCCGCGTTAAATTAAGTTTTTGAAAATCCCCCAGGAACCTAACACCTTTCCGGGGTAAAAATCCTGGGTAAATCCTATAATCTCGATCTTGGTTGTAAACTATATGCCTACAAAATTTCATCCAGATCCGTTTAGTGGTTTAGGCATGAAAGAGTAAAGAACCACCTGTTTGTTTGTTTGTTACAAACATTCAAAACAAACTCACTTTCGCATTTATAATATTAATTTGAAATTAATTAATGTAATGTAAGTTTAGATTTTGAACGTATTAATTTATTTATTTACATAATAATGGCCCGCCCTCTCTTCGCTTCGGTGTAGAGCCTTAGAAGAGACTATAGCTTTTGTTCTCAGGCTTGTATTAAATACATACATATTATATTGACTTTCTTCATATGATTATAAACCTTCCTTGAAAATGAATTTAACTGATAGTGAAAAGTCGTTGAGTTGTTTAGGACCCATTGCTCTGCTGTTAAAAAAAGGGTGTCCTCCTTACCATTGGTCCATGCCCTTATTATTAAATTTATCTTGTGACGCAGTGGTTTGTTCACACATAAATATTGCACTAATGACAGTATTTTGTATAACGCATCGCGTCGCGTCGGATGTATCTTATGCAATACAAATTAGTACGTTTTGATTTGCCTCAACTTTTTTCCAAACTTTGCCAAACTAAAAAATAAATATTATGTTTCTGAATTTTTATATTTCCGAATTCACAAAAGCATACTACATAATATGGCAGAATTTTATGAAGCACTAGCTTTTGCCCGCGACTTCGTCCGCGTTTTCGTCGTTTTTCGTAAAAAAGTAGCATATGTTCTTCCTCAGGGTTCCGTGGTTTTGATGTGACAGACAGATTAACTTTCGTATTTTGGTAGGGAAATATAATATGTCAATCTACAATACTGTTAAAAATATCGCAATAAGGAACCGCAGAATATTACTATTATCACTGTGCCCCGAGACCATCAGCGTGTAACTCCTTGTATGTTATTATGTTAATGTATTGGTAATATTGTTTAGATCGCTTTCATATGAGTCTTAAGTACATATAGCATGAAAATACTTCAGCGCAAAGCTTCCGGGTAAACTACGTTGAAATTTGACCCGTCCGGCACGTGAACATAAACAATTCTAGGAGTGCTAACCCGGGAAAGACCGACATAACTGACCATGTGAAAAACAACTGACACCGAGATCTACTCCAACAACACGAAAAGTCTGCCCTTGAACCTTATTTATTGTCATTGCATAACACACCGATACTGGGAATTGTGTTCTTTTAAATTGGAATGGAAAATTATTTGGTATTATGGGAATTCTGGGAATAAAGATGGTTTCTCCTGCACCGCAACCTGTTAAAATTTGAGCCTCGATTACATTTTGTTGCAACTGGGTTACTTTAAGCCGAGTTCCATTGCAAATTTGTGGTGGTCTTAAATTTCGGAGCAGAATAATCGGAATGCCAATTTTTAAACAAATTTCATGAGAAGGAAGTCCGGGCATATTTAAAGAATTTAAAAATTCTATCGGGTAATTAGTGGCTTCTTGTTCATCGGCCATTCTATTTATTGAACTATAAACTTTGCTTTCCCCCTTGATATTCGACAGTATTTTATTATTAATCTCAGATGCCTGGTCATTGCGAAGAGTTAAAATGGACCTTTCGCATAGCCAAGAATTGTTCATATTTAATATATTTGTTACGTCACCGTAAACTGACGATGTAAGATGTTGTTGGGATTGCACTATACAACATAACTCAGGCGCCAGAATAAGTTTTCCTTGGTGTAGCAGTGGATAGGTATCTTTGGTGAAGGTATTTTCTTTAATAATATATCAGAAAATTCACGATCATCCGGGTTATCTACAGTTCTCACTCGCATGTTTATAGTCAAATGCACCGATTGTATATCACGCCACAAATAAGAGCTTTTCAGGCAAGCCCTAACCTCATCAGCTCGGGTTCCCCGTGGTATTACCGGTAAGGTTTGTCGGAAATCACCACAAAATAAAACTGTGGTACCGCCCATTGGTCGATCATTATCTTTTAAAGTTCTGTCTACCGCTTCTACTCCTTTTCGATGGGCCATCGTACATTCATCCCATATGATTAAATTACACTTTGAACGAATATTTAAACACTACCAAAATACTAATACGTGGTCCTAACTTTAGCTACCTTACACATAAAATCTAAGTGACTATTTGAACTAAAATATTCTTATAGAATTATAACCAGAAATATATACAACTCACAACAAAAAAGAAATGAAAATAAAGCTGAAACGCCTGTGCAATACTATCTACCTATACCTACTTCACTTAAAAAAAAATACTTATAACTACTTTATTTAATAAAAGTACCTACGCTTAATAATTTTTAATTTGAACGAATATTTAAACACTACTACCAAAACAACTAATACCTATTTTACAAAATAACAACAAAAGAAATTCAAATAAACTATTTAAGACTAAAAGTCGCGCTGATAAGCACGGTTTCGGTCTCCCAGGCGGGGGAGCAGATGAGAAATCCTCATGGATACCCTACAGCCGGCTGCAAGGTTATGTCAGACTCGTACTGACTAAAAAACACCCGTAGGGGCTGCCTCTGACCGGGAAGGTCTCTAAGGCAAGCGATCGTCCCGGGGGGGGGGGGGGGCAGCTCGCTCTGGGCCTCCCGCCTTTTGATACCCTACCGCTGCCGCGACCCGTGTCGAGCGCGGCAACCGTTACACAAAAATAATCCTTATAGCATGATTCAGTATTCACGTGCGACGGCGCCATGGCTTATTTCATGTATAAGTTTGGTGTTTCTATACCGACTTCTATGTTTTGTTTTTATTGAATAGGTAATAATGTTAACTTTTTTAAATTAGGGATGAGTAAATGATATAAACATAAGAGTAAACAAATATGATCAGAATGCGGGATATTTTTTAGACAATTTTATTTAGAATATTTCCGTCATGCATGATTTCTATGTAACTTTAATCATTAAGGCTGCACACGCGACGGAAGCTTAAAAAATGGAGTAACTTCTCCCGTTTTCCCAACATTTCCCTTCACTACTCTGCTCCTACTGATTGTAGCGTGATGAAAAGTATACTATAACCTGCCCAGGAGTATGAAGAATAATTGTACCAAGTTTCGTTAAAATCCGTCGAGTAGTTTTTGTTTCTATAAGGAACATACACACAGACAGACAGACAGACAAAAAATTTACTGATTGCATTTTTGGCATCAGTATCGATTACTAATCACCCCCTGATAGTTATTTTGAAAATATATTTCATGTACAGAATTGACCTCTCTACAGATTTATTATAAGTATAGATAATTACTTTTGGCATATTTTTATTTTCCATATTTTTGCTATGCATACATACATAATAATAACAGATAGATAACAATGCATGTAGTTATGAGTGAATTGTCCAAAATATAACAAATATAAGTGTCAAGAAGGACGGAAAAAATCTCTCATTTGCGAGCGAGCCATTTCGGCTTGCACTGCAAAAACAATAAAAGTAACGTGAATATATCGGAAATGTATCTTTTAAATAGTTCTACAAAAAAATCTGCGAAAGCATATATCAGGGCTTGTTTACCGGTTAATTTTCAAACCTAAATCAGTGTCAAGTACATTAGGAGCGTTTTATATATTAAAATATTGACATTTCACTACGATTTGTAGTTATGATGAATGTCAATTATAAAAATCCTCCCTTAAAAACGAGACTACACAGTTTTTTTTGATTTGCCAAATATTTGGTTCGCCCTACTTTGCCACCTTTGATAGACTTATATGTAAGTTTGGCTCTACCTTAACCTTAAAAACCGGTTTTCCTAAAAAGCGAAATCAAATAGGTTTTGAATTAATTTAGCGGTTTTTTAAAGGGTTTCATTTCGCTCTTACTGACGGCTGAAATAAACACACAACTAGAAAATGAATAAGTTGACTCACAAGACGCTAGCAAACGTGTCAAGAAATGCATCAATGAGCCTTGATTAGTTCAAACAAAACGAACTTCAAGCAATGCCGACGCGTGCACGTGTCGCTCTGAATTAAACCGGTTTATTAAGGTTTTAGGTACCGCTTTCATTTCGGACGCGCTCCGAACGAAACCTTTACTAAAAACCGGTATTAACCTTTATTTACCGGTATTTTTTAAATCGGTTTCAAGCCTTGGCATATATCCATTTTTAATTTGTAAGTCATTATAGCTTTAATAGGGAATCAAAAATAAAATATTATTAGAAATTCATTTCCAAAATGTACATTTTGTATTAACACATTATTTTTTAGCAATTTTTTTCTAGTATATCTTAAGGCTGCAAGGCAGCATCATCTCTTCGCATTGTAGGCTTAGATTAAAACAAAAAAGGTAGATACGGTACGCTCATTCTTGCATCAAACAAAAACTGATCCCACGGCAGCGCGAACGGGATGGCAAGATCCGCGTCACTGCATTACCGACCCGAACGAAACAGCACGTTAAGTTTCAACGGCAGCGCGAACGAGACGGCGAGATCCGCGTCACTGCACTACCGACCAATCACGCGACTAGTACTCGACGTCACTACCGAATAAGATTCAAAACAAACAGCAATTTTTATGCAAAAATATACTTTATAGTACTTACGAATGAAAAGTGATGCCATGGGTTTTATTTTTAATTCTTGAGCAATTTGAGCACTTTTTAAAAACATACATACATACATTTATAATGTTTTATCATATAAACACAAAATATTATCAAATATTTCTTTTTGGTGTTTACATGTACGTCGTTTGCATGTCAAGTTGTGACTAAAGCGATTAGGGTCGTGGACCACAATTTGTGCGGATCACTTTTGTTAGGCTAGTGCCGTATCTACCCTTTTTGTTTTAATCTAAGATTGTAGGTAACCCACACAGTTATATTTTCTTAAGCTTTAAACATCTCCCAGTTAAATAAATGCTAACGTAACTAATATAACTAAATGCCTTTTTTTTCAGTCGTAGCCATCCCAGTGCTTCCTTTGAAGTTCCACTATTACGTCCCATTCCTCAACATCCAGTTTAACTCATGGCGTACTCTGAGTCTGATCTTCAGTACGCCGTGTGTCTTGAGTGCGATCGGTCTATTATTCTTGTGCGAGAGTCCAAAGTACCTTCTGAGCGTGGGCAAGGATGAGAAGGCTTTGAAGATTATGAGAACTATATTCAGCATTAATAATAATAAAAGCCGTGACGACTACCCGGTAAGTAGGTCTTTTTTACTTAAAGATTTTATTTCTCAATATGTCATGAGAGGTGATTTCATGAATTATCTCATAAAGAAGTTATTTTTCAACTTTACTATCTTTTGTTATAATAATCATCATCAGCCTATTAAAATAGTGCCCCACTGCTTGGGCACAGGCCTTCATAAGCCGCCATTTCTGCTGTCCTCAAGCAGAAACGCGGCTAAATGTCAAAACCAACTTTTGAGATATGGCCAAAAAACGGCGCGTAAACTGTAAATTATTGCTATTTTGTAACCATTCATGACATGACGGATTTTTATAATTAAACTGTAAAAGATACGAATACTTGTTAAAGACAGATCGATTGAGAATTAAAAAGTATATAAGATGCAATTTAAGAGTCAAAAATCGACCACATGTCACTTAGCCGCACTTTAGTTTGAGGACGGCAGATTTTTACCTTTATTTGTGCAGTTAAGTTAAAATAAATAACTTATCTGGATATCATTTCGATTGCTGTAACAATGTATCTTTCTTGTTTCACAGGTGAAGTGTCTAGTTTTGGATGAGCTGACTGCATCACATGCTCCCAAAGGCTTCTTCTCATCGGTTGCCTCACAAACAATTCCGTTATTCAAGCCTCCATTGCTGAAAAACACTGTTTTGCTTTGTGCCATGATGATCATCGTTTTGTTATGGTATGACTGTTGTACGACTTTCCGCATTGCTTGTGTGGCAAAACATTTATATTTTGACACGCTAACAACACAAGCTCACGCGTGATCCTTGCTAGACTCTTGTAATAATATGGGAAAAGCATAAAGAAACGTTACTGGGTGCATGTTTTAAATGAAAAGAGAATTACTTTTGGTGAATATCATACGGGGCGTCGGGTGTTGGCTGGAAACCACGGAGTACCCCCACTAGAGTCCGCATCACGCAAATTTTGTTTGAAATCAAAATCGCCAAAGTCGGTGGCGTGCAGGGAGATCAGCCGCGTTGTGATTGGACACGTCAAGGTCAGATGATATACTCAGTGCAGCGAAGTGATGAGGGTAAGATCGATTTTAGAAAATATCGATATTTTATATCGATAAATAAAGAACACCCGGCATTATGTGCCAAAGTTGTATATTTTTTTAATTTTTTTATCTGTGTTTCATAATTGGGTAACGTAGTCTGGCAATATTTGTCATCAGCAGCTAGCTGTCAATGTCAAATACGTAGGTTTGTCAATATAACCTCTATATGTAGCCGGGTCGTCAAGAGAAATAACGGATAAAAAGGCAATCACAGCAGAGAACATTTACAATCACAGTACGCGGGAGCGAATGATTTTTTTGTTTGTATTTTAGGATTGTCAAATTGACATTTGGTTTTTTATTTAGAAAAAGCAAAGGAATCATGGTATTTACAGTCACTTGAGTAATATTTTAAGTAAAATTCTGTCCCTTGAAGATTTAGGGTTTCCATATCAAAAAATATTAATCATTATATAACTTCTTTCCACGATTCACTAAAAATAAGGCAAAATTAGTTTTATGTAGCAAATAATTTTGGCTTCATTTTGAGACCAAATTCAACTGTATACAAGTTTAGCATTTTTTCTATGAAAAGTGCCGGATCTCCATTGTACAGAGGCCTAGTACTTTGGTGCGCTAGTGTAGCTATGCGCAAACATACTCTCTCCACTTTCTTCCAGCGTTCTAATTACATGACGCGACTAGTAACTACATACTAAATAAAATATAAGCAACACAAAAAACACGTAAAAAAAATATCTAGATAGACAATAATATGCTGTTTATGACAACTTTTAAAACTTAAGGCGCCTTACTCATCGGCTCGGTACAGGTTCGTTTTGTTTGCGGGAGTGACTGTCAGTGGTAAAGTGACGAGAACATATGTAACTGTTTACAGTTGGAGTCAAATCTTTACGTTTAGTTGCACTTATCCAAAGTTCCTTCATCTTGGCACATTTTGGAAACCTATGAAATAAATAAAACACGTAATGTTACTGTATTTTGATTCTCGCATCAGTCTGTAAGATATCACCTTAAATATCTCTTTAAAGATTTTGCTCGTTGCTGTTCTCGTGAAAGGCACATGCGATATACAGACTTAATGAATTTAACATTAATACGGTGACGTCCGTGGCTCTTGACTTAGCACACGCAAAATAACCTAAGTATAACCAAATTATTGATTTTGAAGGAACTTGGTAAATACTTATCAAATTTTATGCTAGCTACCACCCGCGACTTCATCCACGTTAACTTTAGTTTTTTGAAAATCCTAAAGAAACCTGACATTTTTCCGTTATAAAAAGTATTCTATACAACGATATTTTATACCCTAGATACGACAACATGTACAAAATCGTGGCCGAAACGTGACCAAAAGGTACATTTGACGATTCACAGAGGTCCGTAAGATGATCGCGTGGTCAAAATCAATGTAATGCATTATTTAAAAAAAAGTCACCTTTAATGCATACGGCATAAGCTCTTAATTAAAACGCATGCATCAAAGATTTATGGCAGTTCAAAATGCAAGTTCCTAAAATTTTACGACTTATTGTTATATGCGAAAGAAAATAGACCTTATTTTTTTTAACTTTTCGCGCTCAATTCTGAATGTGCTGTTAGCTATTATAGCAGGTACAGACCGCGAAGAAAAAAGACGGCTATAGGGCGACGTATAACCGACCATGCTTTTGAGTATCACAAATATGTTATATTAAATCAGTTTATAGTAAGTATTACAATAAAATTTGCTTCAAATGCGTTAAATTTATAATAATAATAAAAACGTTTATTTGGCTCAAATTATATAAATAACTTATTGTATTACATAAAGATGACTATGTACCAAATTATAAAAACATTAATTAGATACCTGTCGAAAAAACAACACTTTACGTACTATTAGTATTTTTTTCGCAGTTTTACGGAGCTCTGCGGCATTTTGACTTTTCATCGGTCCGCGCGTGACTGTAAACCAAGAAGTGCTTGAATAAAGTTTAAGCACTTCTTGATTGGGACACATTTTGAGCGCTCGTGGTCTATCTAGGGTATTTAATATCGTTAATTCCATGTCTTTATCTAGGTCATAAAGTATGCGCACTTAATTTCATACAAATCGGTTTAATCGTGTAATAGTAACAAACATCCATACAAATTTTCGGGTTTAAAATTTTAGTACGATATGATTAAAAACTGTTGGTTGTATACTCATGATATCTGTTATTGTATACGATGAAATAAATAGTTTTTATTTATTTTTTCTATTTCCGTAGCTGACAAACTTATCGATAAACTTACGGGTACAGACATGAGCTGCGTCAAGTCACTAGCAATACACGTGCCGGTGTGAGAGCGGAATAGCATAGATGATGTAGCGCATGCGAGAAAGGGATAATGTTAAAAGACATCAACGCGTTCACCAAAAAATAAATACAATTAAAAGCAATTTCATATAAGAGTATTTTTGTCTTTTTGTAATGCATTTAAACTTACCGGTGAAAAGTAATACCATCTTTTTGAAGACTGGAAGTTTTACTCCACTTTCCACATAATTTAATTGCACAGTACGGCATTTTTTCTAGTTTTTTAACGCAAAAACGAGAGAAGCACTTCTGCTAACGGTCGGCTTCGGAATGAAACGATGTATAGCGACGTCTGTGGGCGTGTCTCACGCATACGTAATATACTACTTAAGCTTGGCGTAAGCGCTTGCCCTTGTATGCGGACTCTAGTGGGGGTGCTCCATGCTGGAAACACACTGCATGCGCCGCGTATTATTTGATTTGACTCAATACGCGTCGAGTTGCGTCGGGTCGCGTCGAGTTGCGTCGGGTCGCGTCGAGTTGCGTCGGGTCGCGTCGAGTTGCGCCGGGTCGCGTCGCCTTCCGCCGGGTCGCGTCGCGTTTCTATAGTTAATTTTTTGTGCGTGCGCTTTTGTACTTTTGAAAGATAGATTCTCTATTACTCTCGGTCCGAAAATCCAATTTTTCGAGTTTATATCCCGCTTAGAATTACCATTGATTACTGTTTTTTTTTAATTTTATATGACTTATTAATGCAAATATTTTCAGCATGCAACCGTACCTGGTGTGGTTTCCGTATTTGATAAATGGATTCATGACATCCGTGCAGAGGGGTGAAGAAAGCTTAACAATCTGTCAAAGGCTGAGGGCGTCCCAAAATATGACGGAAACCACGGTACTACTACAATTCACGCAACAAATAAAACACACACACCACAAGCAGAAATAAAAAGGAATGGTCTTAAACAAACCTTTTGGTTTCTTCTCATTTATTACTTCTCATTTGTCAGATACTTAATATCTTTACGGTTTTGTCAAACCTTAAAATAGCCTTTTTAACGGTTTCTACACCATTTCGCTTTCATGGCTTTCCAAACCTATTTCTTCAGCCTGGTATTTGGTATATTTGTCACATGGTTAATCTTACAGAGCAAGCCTCCGTTAATAAATTTTTAACACATATTTAGTGATGACTTGGGTTATTAGTTCATGCCGTTTAATATTTGATGTTCTTGAAATTTAACGTTTTACAGGTGAACGATTGTTCCATAAACGAGTTTGCTTTGTCGATGTTAAGCGGAATGGGATTCCTGCTGGCCGTCATTAATACTGTCCTGAGCTTTTTGATCAACTACTTCGGGAGGAGGCGCTTGATAATCATCGTTCAGGTAATGTCCAACCAACATTTTCTAATAAACCACTCGTCCACGGAGGTCGTCGATATATTAAGTGTTATAAATATAATAGTAGAAGTAGGTTATTTATTACAATTATAGACATTTACGCTTTCTATTTCATCAACAGCTTGAGACCTAATAATAATTATATGAACCGTTAATGTTTTAAAAAGTTCTCTCCAATCATTATCAGTACTTCATCATCATCATCATTAGCCTATTAATGTCCCCACTGCTGCAGCACACGTTTTTTTTGACTGTTGGTCTCAGATGACCTTTACAGCGTCACCGGAATTGGGGACGGCGATATCCTAAGGGGACCTCAAGCCGAGAATTAGCGAGTGCCAGCGGTATTCCAGGTAGATGGCATCTCCACACGGCTCACGAGAGTCTCCTCTCTGTCTGGAGCCTCTAGACCACTCGAACCTGAGGGGGTCGGCTCATCTAGAGGGCGTCTCTGAGGCTCGGACCTCGGCTCTAGTTAGCCGTTGTCGTGGGTCAGCACAGGCCTTCGCTATGGATGGAATAAGGAGATTGGGCTATGACCTACCACGGGGGCCAGTGCGGATTGGTGGGTGCTGACGACTGAGATGCAGCCGGGACCAACGGCCTAACGTGCCTTCCGAAACACGGAGGAGCTCGAGATAGTCTATTTTTTGTCAGCCATCGCTCTTATTCAAATGTGCATATCTTTATATATATAATTCTTCTGTGAGTGTGTATGTCACTGAACTTCTCTTAAACGACTGGACCGATTTTGATGAAATTTTTTGTGTGTGTTCAAGGGGATCTGAGAATGGTTTAGATTCACAATTTTGTCCGCTGGACAATGTTTTTTTAATTAATTTTTAATTTATTAGTAGTTGTTGATTTTGGAATGTTTTACATTGGATCCGACAGACGGCACTACCATACTAGACAGGACAACGTCTGTCGGGTCCGCTAGTTATTTATAAAGTAAAATAATAGTTATTTATGCAACTGATATATAATGGGGAGTATTGAAACACGAATGTGGGTTTATAGTATAATATGAGTGTTTTAATACTTAATTATGAATACTTGCAAACTATACTTTACCTACACTCGTGATATGAATCCTCAATAAGAGATTTTGAAACCATGGGGCCTTTCACAACTTCATGAAAAGTTTCGGCGTTGTGGTAGTGAAGTGCTAGTGAATGACAATGTTTTTTTTTAATTAATAATAAGCACTGAGCGCGGAAAGGATTTAAAAAGTGAAAGAGTGTGTTTTTATGTTATATAGTACAACATTATAACACCTGATTGGGTTATATATTTATTTTTTTAGCATTAAACTGCTGATGAGGCTTAGTAGCGGAGGGTACGGGTTCGAGTCCCTTCTGCTGCCTGGTCCGCGTGATTTTTTTTCTAGTAATATTTTCTTTAGATTAAAACATTCGTTTGTGTGGTACAATGTTTATTGTTATGTGTATTTATGTTGGATATTTTAATGTTGGTAATAAGCTGTCTCAAAATCTTTAACATAGGTTTTAAAAGCATGGGGGTGGATAAACTAATATTTATTTGTTATATCAGTTCATAGCTGGCATCGGCGGCATCTGCCTCAACTCCAGCAAGTTGTGGCAACTCAGTGGACTCCTGTTATTCGTGTTCATCGCCGGGATCCTCAACTTCGGCATGGTCACCACGGTCAGCGTTGATCTCTTCCCCACTCATGTTAAGTATGTCTTGTTTCTTAAGTGTCGCCGCACACGGGCCACACGTCACAGCCACAAACTCCGCCGCGAGAAGCTAGAAGCGGCTACTAAAGTGGCTGAAGCGCGCGACAGCGGCCGACTAAGGTAAGGGAGAGAGGGGTGGGGAATCGCGCGAGTGACGTGTGGCGCCGTTTTGTATCGGCGCATTAAGTGGCCGGTGCGGGCCACAAGAAGCGAGCAACGATGATTTGCAGCGTGTGGTGGCCACCGGCGTACCGTGTGTGGCGAGTCCATATAAAATGTATGAAAACTACAAGAAATATGCCGGTGGCGGCGTTTTGTGGTTGTGGTCGGTGGCCCGTGTGCGGCGACACTAAGTTTTCACGCACACTTTATCATTAAATAAAACAAGTTTTTCAACGGGTTTAAAATGCGTTTTTAATATTTTTTTTTATTGTTCGATACGATTTTAATTCATTTATGAAGATAGTGCGAAAAGGATCATTATGAATGTGGCAAAGATTGGAACTAACGCGGCCATCTTGGTAAACGTCATATTTTGTATGTAATTTATGGTCATTTGCGTGGACAGTGGCGTCCTCCCTGAACTGTCACTCACATTCATAAAGATCCTTGTCGCCGCTGTATGTGTATTTCTTGCTCTTGTCTTCTTCTTGAATTTTGATTGGTGTGCTCTTGATGTCCGTGTACATCACCGGGATTCTCAAATTCGACTTAGTCAGCACTGTCAGCGTCGAGATCTTCCCCATTCTTGTCAACTAAGTCTATTAGTATCAGAATCAGAAATTATGTATTCAACGTAAGCCTTTACAGGCACTTATTGCCGTGATCTATACAAACAAAAAAATTAATTTTAAAATGATAATAGTAAACTGAGGAGGTCGATGGCGCAAGTGGTTGGCGCGTTCGGCTGCGATCATTGAACTTAAGCAACTTTCGCAGTGGTCGGTCATTGGACGGGTGACCAAAAATTACTATCTCGAGCTCCTCCGTGCTTCGGAAGGCACGTTAAGCCGTTGGTCCCGGCTGCATCTGCAGTAGTTAGCACCCACTAATCCACACTGGGCCCGCGTGGTGGGTCATGGCCCAATCTCCCTATTTCATCCACTGGGAAGGCCTGTGCCCCAGCAGTGGGGACATTAATAGGATGATGATGATGATGATGAATAGTAAACAATGTATATATGAGTGGATACCTATATTAATTAACATTACAACGAGTGCATTGCTAGCGCAGAGTTCATTTCGTCGAGACAACCATAGGATGGAGAGACAAAATTTAATAAAAGGGGCAACATTTGCCCAAAGGACGACCAAAACAAGCGTGTATCTTGATCTGGATCAATTTTAAATTTGCTGAGGAGTCTACGGTTGAGGCTCCAAAACATCAGGGTGTCAATTCTACTAAGTTAAAATGATACGTGGGACACTCAGAAAGTTTTGTGAAAATATTCTTAATCCATTTTTTAATGATACAAGAAAAAATTTATTGGCTCTCGAAATAATGCGGAGGGAAATTTGAAAATCGAACAGTGGTATTTTTTACTTTTAAATAATCGAAGTTCTCAAAACAATTACAAGTGGTCTTATACATAAAAACTTTTTTTCGCAAAACTTTCTGAGTGGCCTGGTCCTCGATTACCAGGTCAACGAACGTCGATGACCAGATCAATGGTGTATCAATAGTTTTAATTCTTGGCACAGTTTACTGAAACCAAAAATAATAAATGAATGGGGTTGTTAAATTGTTATTTAAGAAATATTATTATTCGGTTTCAGAAAATATTATCATTCTCAACTCAAGTGGCTTCCAATTCATCGTCGCCGGGATACCCATATACTTTCCCTTCTTTACAAATGTTAGTTTAATCCCTCTTATTTCAATTATCTCAAAGAACTTTTCAGTTTTCTCCACTGTTCCCACTTTCAGTCGTTACGCACATCCAAGAATTTGAGCCTTAAAACTCCATCACATAACACTATAAATATCCTTTTTGTGTTGCAGCTATGCGCCTCTGGAACTCTCTCCCTGCTGATATCAGACTAGCCCAGACGATTAGTATATTTAAGGGGATTTTTTCCTTTCACTGTAGTTGTTTTGTGTTGTTCCAATTTTATTTTTCTTTTCGTTCTTTTACCATATTTCTATTATTATCTTAATTCTAGTTGAAATAAATTGAGTGTTTGCTTTTGTGTAGGTATATATTATTTTTTTGAGGAGCTCGTTGGCCCAAGTGGTTAGCGCGTTCGACTGCGATCGTTGAAGTTAAGCAACTTTCGCAGTGGTCGGTCATTGATGGGTGACCAGAAATTTACTATCTCGAGTTCCTCCGTGCTTCGGAAGGCACGTTAAGCCGTTGGTCCCGGCTGCATCTGCAGTCGTTAGCACTCGACAATCAGCACTGGGCCCGCGTGGTGGGTCATGGCCCAACCTCCCTATTCCATCCATAGGCCTGTGCCCCAGCAATGGGGACATTAATAGGCTGATGATGAAGATATTTTTTTTTATTGATTGTAGCACACCCCCTCTTTTATTAAATTTCGTCTCTCTACCCTATGGTTGTCTGGAAGAAATGGCTATATAGCGATAAGACCGCCAATTGTTCACTATTTTAAGTTTTTTCCTAGTGTGTATTAAGTGTGTTTGTAGTATTTAATGTGGTATGCACAAGAACAGTATCATCTATTTATGTATTTATTTCATTATGAATTTGTTGATTTATTATTTTGCAACAAGAACTGTGTCCAAAAACGTTACTATTGAACCACTATTGAGACGGGATTTTTAAGTCAGCTTAGCAGAATCGACAGCCAAGATCTCGGAGTTACACCTGGAGGGTGAGGGGTAGATCGGGGACAGTTGCCAGCTCTCCAGATTTTACAGGATATCTCCTGTTTTTCTGAAATTTCTGCTGTTCTACTGTTTTTCTACATGAATCTCCTGTTTTTTCTAGAATACGATTTCCTGTTTTAAATTGCATGTGGAGTTGTATTTTCCCTCCATTAATAATGTAGATAACCTTAATAATTATAAAATAAATGTTATTGTCTGCAAAAAAAAACTAGCTTTGAGGGGCGTTGCAAGCCACAGAAACACATTCGTTTGTGGTATTTATCTTGATCATCTACTGTATTTTTTGTAACTCTTTCCATACATCTACTGTTTTTTTTTTATAACGCCACCCGATTTTTAAAAATCGGTTCTGGCAACACTGATCGGGGAGTTGGTTTAGCTGGTAGGTACGGGAGCAGGTCGGCTGGCTAGCCGCTCGGACTGCGGTTCGTGGGACTAGTCAGGTGACGCTGTGGACGGAGAAGCCCAGGATCGGCTGAAGCCGAAGCTGAAGGGTTTTTTTTCTATATGGCTTCGCACGGTTTGTGCATTTAGCCAATGTCAAGTGTAAAATGTTTACATATTCTATAGCACTCGTGGTGAAAATATTAGTCAAGTCAAAGTAAGTGGCAGTCAAGTCAATCCCCCTTTCCCTATGGTTCAGTAAATGTGTGGGGATTTACTGGAACCTCCCCGTGGACTTCTTGAGGGAACGTCGAAAGACACTTTCCGCTATTTTGTTTCACTTGCCAACACTTGTGCATACTTCCGAACACTTAGTGGTTAATAATCCACCATTATTAGACACTAACATCCGCCACAACACAATTTTTAACAAGAAAAACAAAACTGCTAAAGTGACGCTTCCCGATCCCGCCAAAAAGGATAATGGGGCCCCTACGTCTTCCGTTTGATGATTTAACAGGAACTAGGGACTTTGTATTTGATCTGAGGGGGCCCCCCCATCGATCGCGGGGCCCTGGGCACTTGCCCAAAGTGCCCAATGGGAAAGATAGGTCTGGGTTTCAGTGATACCGCATAATGCTCATTTATTCAGCTGTTTAATTTTTCTTATCGCAGAGCAATGGCAGTATCCCTCACGATGATGATAGGTCGTGTGAGTGCAGTCGTAGGCATCAACATTCTGAAGTTATTGCTGGAGGTCAATTGCGAAGCCTCATTCTACATGTTCGGCGCCGTTACATTACGTGAGTTGGTTCTCTTATTTTTTTTTTATAGATAGGTCCGACAAGTGATTCCACCCCACCTGATGTAAGTGAAGGTAAAGTCCAGACGCGAAGATAGCTGATACAGCAGTTCTACCTGCCACACCAGCCATCCTCACCCTGCCGGCCTGCATGTTGCTTCTTCACGCCTTTTTTAAAGGATCCCAGGTTGTAAGAGGGAGGGAACACGTGAGCGGGCAGAGCATTCCATTTACAGATAGTGCTACAAAGAATTGAGTCACCAAATTTCTTTGTACGCGTTGGAATTGTGGCCACAGTAAGACGGTGACAACGTAGGCCAGCGCGAGTGGTCCTCTGAAGGAAAGGGGAAGGTGGGATAAGAGAGAATAACTCCTCAGAACACTCGCCGTGGTTCAGACAATAGAACGCGCTTAGTGACATAACATCACGGCGTAATTGAAGAGGCTCAAGGTGTTTAGTTTTTAATATAATGACGATGAGGAGCTCGATGGCGCAGGTGGTTAGCGCGTTCGGCTGCGATCCTTAAAGTTAGCAATTTCGCAGTGGTCGGTCATTGGATGGGTGACCAAAACTAAAACCAAAGATCTTCTATCTCGAGTTCCTCCGTGCTTCGGAAGGCACGTTAAGCCGTTGTTCCCGGTTGCATCTGCAGTCGTTAGCGCCCGCCAATCCGCACTGGGTCCGCGTGGTAGGTTCTAGCCCAATCTCCCTATTCCATCCATAGGGAAGGCCTGTGCCTCAGCAGTGGGGACATTAATAGGCTGATATGAGGATGATGATATAATAACAGGAGAAAGAATGTATAAATAGTGTTGTGTTATTATTGTAATGTCTAGTTTTTGAACGAACACCCGCCAAAAAGTGCTTGACAGACGTCAGGTGGGCTGTCATTGATTTATGGAGAGCATGAGTAATGTATTTTTTCGTGATTGTAAAATTGGAAGAATAAAAGTATCAATCTACATTTATGTGTTTCATAAAATACATAACAAACATCATATTTTATAAGCTTAGTGTTAGACTTTAACCACCCCTCGTGGAAAGTCTTCGATCGCTTTTGAAGAATTTATGACATAAATAAAATAATAATAATAAATATTTCCGACACTCACACCAATTAGCCTAGCCCCAAAGTAAGCACTATAAGGCTTGTGTTATGGGATGCTAGGGTAACGGATAGAATACATATATTGTACATATATAAGTATATTTATATAAATACATATTAAACATCCATGACTGGAGTACAAATGCTCGTATTCATCACACAAACATCTGCCCCCACCGGGATTCGAACCCGGGACCTCTCGAGTCGGCGACAGCCATGAAACCCGGCGTACAAACCACTCGGCCACGGAGGTCGTCAAACACATAACAAAGGTGATTAGCCGATTTTCCGTCCGAATTGGAGCACCCGCCTGGGGAAGTAGCCTTTACCTTACAGAAGACCAGTAAAATAACAGTGCCTTTTGATGGTGTTGTGTTTCTGTCGGTGAGTAGGGTTCTAGGGCTCCACGAGGGAGGGGATTGGGGCAGGGTAGGCAACGGTGCGAGTGATATTTTTGGTGGCAAGCGTCTATTTGACGACCTCCGTGGTCGAGTGGTTTGTACGCCGGGTTTCATGGTGTCGCCGACTCGAGAGGTCCCAGGTTCGAATCCCGGTGGGGGCAGATGTTTGTGTGATAAATACGACCATTTGTACTCCAGTCATGGATGTTTTATATTGATTTTCTATATAAACATACTTATATATGTACAGTATATGTATTCTATCCGTTACCCTAGCATCCCATAACACAAGCCTTACAGTGCTTACTTTGGGGCTAGGCTAATTGGTGTGAGTGTTGGACATATTTATTTATTTATTTATATACTGGGTTCCGAACCTGGGGGTAATTACCCCTCCGGGGGTAAATCAGCCATACTTCGGGGGGTAACAAAGAACCTAATTATTTAGTCAAATCTAAATAATAAGAAAATACTACACAATAATACTACTAAATAGAGCATGCGCTCCTTCTTGCTAGCGAGCCCGCGGGGTGCTGAGTGTGGGAAGCGGGGCGAGATTTTCTCCTGATGATGACGTAATTAGAGAGGAAGATGTAGCGGCCAAATTGGAATTTCTTGGACTGATGATAACATTTTAAAGTCAGGGTAAAATCTGTTTTCCTAATAGGTTACAGTATTAGAAAGGTTAGGAAACACTGGTCTATATCATCGAGCAGCTCGATGACGCAGTTGGGCGCGTTCGGCTGCGATCGTTGAAATTAAGCAACTTTCGCAGTGGTCGGTAATTGAACAGGTGACCAAAAATCTTCCATCTCGAGTTTCTCTGTGCTTCAGAAGGCACGTTAAGCCGTTGTTCCCGGTTGCATCTGCAGTCGTTAGCGCCCGCCAATCCGCACTGGGCTCGCGTGGTTGGTCATTGCCCAATCTTCCTATTCCAACCATAGGGAAGGCCTGTGCCCCAGCAGTGGGGACATTAATAGGCTGATGATGATGATGATGAAGCGTCTATGGTGGTCGCTTACAATCAGGCGGGCCATACGCTTGTTTGCCAACCTTTTATTTCTCCTTTCAATTGTTTAATTCTTGTAAAGGTATTCAATTGGTATTGTGGGTAACCTACAATGTAAAGAGATAGTGCTGACTCGCAGTCTAAGAAAAGCTAGAGAAAATTCAACACGGCCTCCGACCGGTACGGGCTCGTGTCCCGTCTGCTGCCTGCTCCGCGTGGATTTTTTTCCAGTATTTTCTTTAGATTTAAACATCTAGCAGTCAAATGGTTAAAAACATATTCATACATTTTTTTGTTTCAGTTGGCGTAGCTGTTAGCTTCTTACTTCCAAAGGATCGGAAGCCTTCATCGCGAAATTGTACTGAGACTTGAGATTACTTTAAGTTTGAAAACAGTGATAAATATGAAGATCAATATTTGTGTTTATTAGTGCGTCTGCGAAGGACATCAAAGGTCGAATAGAGAGTGCAAATAGGTGAATGTTATTATTGTAAGTCTTAATTGTATTACATTTTATTTACCTTATATTTACGAGTAACAATGTAACTGTTTATTGCGAAAACTTTCTTTTTGTTTATTAAAATGAATATTAAACTTCAAATTTTGTGTTGTTGAAACACTAAAAGGAGTCTGATTAGTGAAATCCAGAGCCGTAAAACATATTAATAAAAAAAAAATCTGATCAGTGAGGAGTGCGTTAGTGTATTGAATTATGTGAAGGTATTGTTTCTTTTTGGAGTGAAAGTGTGTGTATCTGTGTCTATGTATAATTATGTGAATGTGTATCGTATGTATAGGTATGTGAGTGTGTATATGTATTAATGTCTTTCTACATTTAAAAAAATGGTTGCCTGTAAAGTCGGTTTTACGGGCGAAGATTTTACGTGACAACGTCTTTTTCTCGGTAGAATATTTATTGATATGAATATAATTAAATTGCACAATAGGAACAAGGAATTGAATGAAAATAAGAATTGCACAAATTTTAACTATAGAAATATATTTTGTTTACTAAAACATTGTACATGTAAACTTAAACTCATCGTAACGTTACCGAGCGTTACACTTTTTCATAAGTGACTCCCAGCCGCAACCTAATTTAAGACGTTGTCACGTCAAAATTCCTTGGAGTTGCTTGTTTGTTCATTGTTTGTATATTGTATTTTTATTTCCTCATGGCTGTTACTTAATTTATTCGTTGTCATATAATTAATCATCTCCGATGTACACTTGCTATTTTTAAATTAAGGGAAATCTGTAATTGGCCATACTTACCTGTAAAATACTATCTGGTATTTGTTGATGTATACGCTGTTGGTTTTCTTAATAAAATAAAAAATAAAAATAAACCAATCAAATCACATACTTACAACCAGTTCAGCCTCAAGAAGTGTATACAATCATTAAAAATCTTAAAAGAAAAAGTTTTGGCGTTGATAAAGTTCACCCTACATTGATAAAAGAATGTGTCAACGAAGCTAGCTTTTCCTTGTTGCAATTTCATTAATCAGTAATTTGAAGAGGAATTTTCCCAAATGCGTTGAAGATTGCCGTTATAAAGCCTATTCATAGAAAGAGAGATAAATATGATTTAAACATCTATCGTCCTATTTCGTTATTACCAATTTAATCTAAAATTTTCGAAAACGCAATGGTACGGCGCCGGCCGGCGTCTGTACTCTTTCTGTGAAAAGTTTTTAATTTACTTTTTATATTGTATGTATGTCAATTGCTATTTATATATTTTATAATATATAACGGCGCATGTACCTCGTTCGAGTTTTTAGAAATTGTGATGTCAGCATTGTTAAATAAATAGTAGAACAAATAATGTTTTCTAAATCTATTTTAAAAGCTAACACGCGATAAAAAATCGATATTGTACTCACAATTTCTGTGTGACCTCTCTTCACCAAGTTCTCAAGCCAAATGTGCCACAAGCAAGTCACTTAATAGTATTCTAAGAATATGGCGCCTGACTGAATGCAAAGCAGAGCGCCATCTTGCGAACAGTTCCGGTTGAACAATAAATTTCCATCAAAATTAACTTAACATCGATATCTAATGCTTAGAACTTAACTAAAAATCTTTATTTAATTTAATTAGATTTTAGGTCGACATTTCCTAATTTATTACCTGTTTTTTAATTATTTGCAGTTAAGTAGATTTACAACATTACAAAGCGGTTGCTAGGTGACGTGTAACTCCTGTTACCGTATCCGTAAAGAACAATTCTTATTTAAACATTATGATTATTGACATGAATTTAGCTTGTTACGTCTTTATAAATAAAAATGGTAATTATTAAATTACAGAAGTGGAATAACTTAAATAGTTATGAGAAATCTTATTTAAGAAAAGCTTACTTCAAACACTACAAACAATCATCAGACTTTTTAACAATGAAACCTTAATAAACTCCAAGAAAATTACAAACTTTTTAACAATGAAACCACCCTTCCCACGGCCAACTGCATACGCCGCTCACCCCCGCATACGGCCACGACAAAAATGAGACCCGCACGGGTTGGGAACGATTGCATTGTTTTGCCGATTTCTCTGTTATTTTGTAAGAATACCCTATACAAACTATATATATTTGGATTCTCCATGAAATTTTCTATAAGACAGTGTTTACACAATGCACGATGTTTTTAATGTATTTTAATTATGTTGCGGTAAACTCAGGAAAGATAAAAAAAAATCGTTTAGTTGGGTAAAATGATGTATATTTTCAAAATTTGAAATATTTAAATCCAGGTTTTTTGGTTATTTGTACATTGTATTATAACTTAACAAATAAAATTATAAAATACTATACTCCCATACTTTTATTTTACACTATACCTATTACAATCAGCGCGCCAAATCTGACACCCAAAAACGCACACAAAAAAAAGGGTCATGTTTCACGCGGTGATAAAAACGAAGGCGAGCTCCAAGTGCCTTGAAACATTTGTTATCGTGTAGGTTAAATTGTTTACTTTACTTTAGTTCCAAATCTCGGATGAATAGCTTTGTTCATTTTATAGTTTCAAGCACTCGCAGCAAGGCATTTGAAATCGCCTACAAATCAGTCATCTCAATTTTATGTTGATAAAACGAAAAGTATTTACAATTTTGATAAGCAGTTTCTTTTATCAAAATGTACATGAAATTTGCTATAGAATACACAAAATAAAATCACTAGTTCCAATACAAAAACATATTCAAATAAATTCGCAAACATCGCGAATTTTAGGTCAAAAAAGCCATTAAAATGTACATAGATCATATAAAGGTGTGCACATTAGATGAGGCATTTTTCTAGTGTGCACAGTTGAGTGCAAGGTTGAGTTTAAAATTAGCTTAGTATCAAATTAACATTATTTGTACCAATACTTTTCTTGAATAATCATACTTGATTATTATGAACCGAATCGAGTGATTATTTTTAACCGACTTCAAAAAATAAAGTAATAGCAAATTACTATAACTCTTCAAATTATGTTATTTACGGAATTTAGTGATTTATATTACACTAAAAAACTTGTTCGTATTTTACCTGCTTAAAAAAAGCTAGTTATGGTGATGATGTCACGCAATTTATGAGCACATTTCACTGAATAAATATAACAGCACAGAGAGTTGTAGTAATTTATTTATATTCTGGTAACTTTTATCAAAGCACTTAAAAATTAAATTACCAAAGTGCAAATGAATTATGGAAATTTATTTGCTTTTTCGCAATTTTACATAAATTAAAACCAATCACTTAAAAACTATAAGATATTACAAGTAATTAATATTCTGGAAAATGTACATGCCTCAATGAAAATGTAGTTACTGAGCCCTAAAATATAATAACGATCGAAGATCATACACCCCAAGAACGGAGCATTATCATTTGAGATTTGGTACGAGCGTATACTTTATAAAGTTAACCTGAAACTGTGGTTACTGAATCCTAAAATATAATGCCGATCGTCGATCAAATACCAAGAGAACAGAGCATTATCATTTGAGATTTTCGAGGCTATGCTTGCCATGGTTTGCAAGGCATGTAATGAGAATCGAGATGATGTTTAGTCTGCTTTACTTTAGATACAGATAGGGCGTGGTACGAGTGAATGTGGTACGAGCGTATACTTTATAAAGTTAACCTGAAACTGTGGTTACTGAATCCTAAAATATAATGCCGATCGTCGATCAAATACCAAGAGAACAGAGCATTATCATTTGAGATTTTCGGGGCTATGCTTGCCATGGTTTGCAAGGAATGTAATGAGAATCGAGATGATGTTTAGTCTGCTTTATCTTTAGATACAGATAGGGCATGGTACGAGCGTATACTTTATAAAGTTAACCTGAAACTGTGGTTACTGAATCCTAAAATATAATGCCAATCGTCGATCAAATACCAAGAGAACAGAGCATTATCATTTGAGATTTTCGAGGCTATGCTTGCCATGGTTTGCAAGGAATGTAATGAGAATCGAGATGATGTTTAGTCTGCTTTATCTTTAGATACAGATAGGGCATGGTACGAGCGTATACTTTATAAAGTTAACCTGAAACTGTGGTTACTGAATCCTAAAATATAATGCCAATCGTCGATCAAATACCAAGAGAACAGAGCATTATCATTTGAGATTTTCGAGGCTATGCTTGCCATGGTTTGCAAGGCATGTAATGAGAATCGAGATGATGTTTAGTCTGCTTTACTTTAGATACAGATAGGGCGTGTATACTAATGTGTTAATGTATTGGAGTATAATTTCTCACTGGGCTTTAACAACTAAAAATACAATCTATAAACAAAGAAATTAGTGGGGGACATATGTTGACTATACGTACAATATGAATATGAATAAACATACTTATATACATAATAAAGTTTCAGTCCTTGTACTACATGAGGAGGTGGTTCATTCATATACCCTTGTACCACGGCTGTTTGATCCTCCAAAACACAAGTGCTTTATAACCAAGGCCGCTCTTGCCTGTTTCAAATCCTCATAACGAGGAGTATATATTGTTTGAAGTTGAGCCACCCTTTCCATTGCGCCAAAGACTCATCCAACGCGATGTTTTGGCTCAAATTATACAGGGACTGAAACCTATCGTTCAGGTGATCGATGATGGGTGAAATTTTAAATAATTTAGCCTGTGGCGGTGTGAGATTTCCGAGGTAATGATCGTTATTATTAAAGTGCAGACATTTTGACAACAACTCGAACCGCCTGAGGGACATGTGGGCTGCAAACCCGTGGGATTGAAAGATGTCCGCAGAGCGGTTCCAGTATGTTGGCAATCTTGCTTTAATAAGGATGCCCATCGCCATCACAATGGCTAAATATGTGTATAGCTCGTCCACATTCGTGTCACACCACCTATTGATTCTACTGTTAGGCCCCATTTGCCCTGTCTCAAGGAGATGAGTAGCATAATCCTGTGCATAATTGTTCGTTTGTTGGACAATATGATCCA